TTTTAATCAAGCTAAATACAGAATTTCTGCTCCTTTATGTTGCTTGCTTCCATTGTCGCCTGTGAGTATGTGACTAGAAGCTTCTATAACAACACAGCTGACCGAATGTAAATTGCCTAGTGTCCTATGAGGCCTTAGATTGTTCCAGTAGATTGTTTCCCCTGCTGGCTCTCTCCTGTCATTAACCATGCACAAATTCTAGCTCATCTCTGCAAAGCAAAACATCTCTCTCAGCCTGAAATTCACCCTCTGCCCCCCATGGCCATGCTCCTTGCAAAAGTGCTTTACATTTCCATTGCCCTCATTTTCTCTCCCTCTTGTTCATGTTTCATTTTATCCATTTTGCAACATCAGAGACTGGTCTCACTCCTTCCTTCAAGTAATTTCTCTTGATTCGGGTAGCACACTCTCTCTGGTCTCTCTGGCCTCCCATGGCAGTAGATAGTTATGAGAATCTCATCTAATCTGCTGCCATGACTCCAACCACCTCCTATATTCTCCTGAGTCCCAAAGCTGTCTACAGCACCCGATGTTTCTGAAGGTGTATTGTGGCCATCTCAGCCTGGAAGTCCCTCAGGCATCCCTGGCCCAGAGTCTTCCCCCACAAGCATGGTCTTTTTCCTATATTCCCTGATCTTAGCACATATATAGACTCTCCATTCAACCTTTTGTTTAAACAGAAATTTAAACTTTATTCCTGATTCCTCCCTTCTTCCTGGTTGAATCAATTGCCACAATCTATCAGTTTTACCTCTTTAATTCCCTTGAATCCATCTCCTTCTTTCCATTCCCAATCTCACCCCCTCAGTTCAATCTTCCCACTTTTTTTCTAGGTTAAGGCAACGATCTCTTTTTTTTTAATTTTTTATTTTTGTTAATCCTCACCTGAGAATATTTTTTCCATTGCTTTTTCAGAGAGAGTAGAAGGGAGAGAGGGAGAAACATCAATGTGAGAGGGATACATTGATTGGTTGCCTCCCACATGCCACACGCCCCTACTGGGGCCAGGGATCAGCCCACAACAAAGGTACATGCCCTTGGCCGAAATCAAACCTGGGATCTTTCAGTCCGTGGGCTGACACTCCAACCACTGAGCCAAACCAGCCAGGGCAAGGCAATGATCTCGTAACTGCTCTTCCTGACTCCACTCTTGGCACTCTCTTACAAATCTTCACGCTGATGCCAAATGGTCATTCTAAATCACAGACCCAGTTGCTGTATTATCTTTAAATTCCATGGTTGGTTCTCAGAAGCCTGTCTAAAGAAGTCTAAATTTCTAAGAATGGCATACATGTTGTACATAGCCCTTTAGGATAATCAACTGCATATCTCCCCATCTCATTGGCAGACACGCACACACCCCAACACCATCCATGCTTTGGCCAGAGTAATCTACATTTCATTCGCAGAAATCAACTTACTCTGTCTTCTGTGCCTTTGGACATACTGTTGCTTTTGTCTGGAACGCCCTTTGCACCGGCCTCTTTACTTGGCTAACGCTTTCCATACATACATCAGGAGTTAAAGAGTTAAAAGGCTAAAGAAACAAGGAAAGCGGTGACCTGACGTAAGGAAGGCCTCCACCAACTTAAGGCCAACCTAGAGAACAAAAGTTCTGACCTGTGAGGTCCCTTATCCTAGTACAATGCAAAAGGACCAAAAAGCTAGATCAGAAAGTACAGTTCTTCATTTCCCAAATTTCAACTCTATCAAAACTTTTTGTGTAAAGTGTGTGTGTCTGTCTGTGTGTACATGTGCACACACTAACTTTCATAAAATAAAATAAAAATGTTAGCAGTCTAGGCAGAAACGTGAATAATGAAGAGACCTTAATCTTTCACCATTCCCACCTTGGCCTACCAGGGTAGCAGTCCACCGACACACCCTCAGTGCCAGCTTCAGATTAGAGAAGGCTCACCTAGAGGACCATGACACCATGACCCAGGTGCTCTGTTCAACCCCTTACCTTCACAGAGAACAACAGAAAACATGCCCTGTGGCTCAAAAACCGTAACATTTTAAATCTGGGGCTACAAAATACACTGGTCTGGCACCCAGAAAGTCCTCAAAATACATGTGTTGAATGGTTGGACAAACAGAAAGTAAGTAGGCAACATGGGCAAAATACTAATGATTATTGAAGGTGGGTAATGAGTTCAAAATGTTCCAAAATAAAAACTTTTTGAAAAAATGCAGTAAAATCCATATTCAAGTTACGTGTAAAGTATATATATATTTTTAAATTACTGATTTGAGAGAGACAGAGGAAGGGGGAGAGAAACATTGATGTGTTGTTCCACTTATTTATGCATTCATTGGTTGTTTCTTGTATGTGCCCTGACTGGGCATCTGAACCTGTGACCTTGGCATGTGGGGATGACACTCTAACTAACTGAGCTACCAGCCCAGGGCCAAAGTATATTTAGCAAATGGTAAATAGTAGTTACTAAACAGGTTATATACAAAAATATCCCTCATTTCTGAAGAGAATATTAGTAACAATATCAGAGTTGTTAGAGGGCTAAATAAAATCATGTGTGTTCAAGTTCAGCACATGGCCTGGCACATAGGAAATATATCACAAATGCAAACTTTTAATTATTGGCTGACCTTGGCTTTGAGCCCTGCACTCAACAGAATCTATGGCCATGAGACTAAATGCTAGAGAGTGGGAGTGCTCTCTCTAATGTCTCCCACTGTCTTTATACAGCAGTGGTTTACTTGACAAATAAAGTTTAGTTTTTGGAAGGGTTTCCTTTTCCTGAGGTAGCTAGGATCTCTGAATGGCAAGGATACCTCCTCACCTCCCCACCAACACCCAGACTATACATAATTTCTTTGGTATCCCAGGGGCTAATAAAGCCTCAAAGAATCCGGGGCCAAACAGGTTCTCTTCAAATGAATGAGACAGAGCAGATGCACTAGAGAACAGTGGGAGAGGGGGCAGGGGTCTGTAATAAGTAATTCCTGGAAGGATCACGCAATAGAGGAGAAGGGACTCAGCTGAGATCCTTTTGATCACTTTCCTGGTTTTCATGGAGGCTGGACAAGCCTGTATCCAAAACTTCCAGACGTTTATCAGGGAGCCTGAACAGAGGGTGAGGTGCAGAAGCTCCTCCCATCTCCAGGATGGAAACATAGTCAATGAGGAATTTCCCTGTGAGTCAGGGCAGCATATGACTCCACCACTGTTACACCTACTTGTTATGATTTTTGTTGCCCAAAGGCACTTCTGCAGTCTATAAGGTAGAGATTATGATTAAACCCTCTTGTTACTGCCTGGGATTCCTGCTCATTCTCAAGGCCTTTTTTTTTTTTTTTTAAGGCCATATTCTTCTGAGCATCGGTTCTTGCTGCATTTAAACTATGAAGATGGCAGCTGACTATAGCATCAAGTCTAAAAGTACCTGAGAAGTCAGTCACTTGAAAAATTCCTCAGAGAAATTCATTAGTAAACCTACACATCTTTAAAAGTAAAGTCATAGTTAATGAAGGGCTCATTACTTTCCTTTACAAGAGTACATTGAGCGTTACATTTGCACATTTTGCTAATTAGGTCTTTTTAATTATTTAAATTATAATAAATATTCCAATATTATGTAATAAAAATGACAGTGGGGGTCAGGGGAAAGAGAAAAGGCAAAGAATGTCCATTTGACTTGACTTATATTTAATCATTATAGTGTGTGTGAATATTCATTTCTAATTTTGTTAGGAAAAGCCAAAAGTAGAAACACATATTTGTAAACTCACAGATTATTATAATAAATAATTTTAAAATGTTTCGCGTTGCCCACCAATATCCATTACACAACTATTTTCAAGGAGAACCAAGCCATTTCCCCATTTGCAAGGCCTCGCTTTGTGAAACTGACCTGATTATGTGGCTGAAGTATTATTTTGCAGCTTTAACTCTTCCTCCCCCCAGGTTTCCCTTCCCCCTCCACCCCCACAACTCTGCCCCCATTTCAGGACTTGGTTCTGAGCATTGCCCCAGGGAAGTACAAGGTAGGGCAAACAGCAGAGATGCCAGCAAGTCTTTCAGATTTTTACCTGTTCAAAGCCCAGATAAAGGCTAACTAGGAAGACGCCATGGGAACAGAGACATTCAAGCACAACCTCTGAAAGCCAGTCCCCTTAATGTGGACCTTTCTCATCGGTGACCATCTGGGAGAGAGAAAGGAGGCAGAGGGAGTTCAGAAAGGTTTCAGGCTCGTTGTTTTTCCCACTACCCTGGCACAGACTCACAATCAGAGGCTGAGTTCATTCACAGTAAGCGAAAAGGAGAATACTGCTTCACACACGGGTCTGCGAACTGAGATTCACAGTCATTCCAATGACCTTGCCCATGTGTTCTCTTAAGAGTGGACCACACGGTTTCATTGTTCGCCACTGGAAAACTACAACTTCTCTTTTTCAATTGGCTAACACGTACAATTCAGAAAATCGGTCCAAGGCCAAGAATTTATGCAGCCCAACTCCACTGTCTGAAGAATTATACAAAAAAAGCAAAATAAGGCAAAGGTGAATTGATTTTCAAAGCTCACAAAGAGAAACCTCTGGAATTTCATAAAGTGCCCCACAGAAAATCCACCACCTCTCCTATAGTGAAAAGGCAGGCTTTTTTTTTTTTTTTTTTTTTAGTAACTAGCCTGGATACGTTTAGCCAGACGGGGCAGCACCGCCCTCCTAACCCACCGCGAACAAAAAGCCCCAGCACACCTGACCTTCTGGCCAATCCAGCCGCCAGCGGGCACCTTCCCCGGGCCAGGATTGGTGCGCGCGGCACCTAGTTCGCCCTCCTCTTCATTGAAAAATTCTCCAATGAGAGGCGCTCAGAGGCAGGGGCGTGGCCTCAAGGGGCGGAGAATTTGCCTCCTTCTACAGACCAGTCCTCTTTGGTTCACCGGCGCCATCCATCAAATGAACTGCACCAATTAGCGGCGGCGATGCTCCCCAATCCTAGAGGGAAGGCCCCGCCCTCCAATATAATCCCGCGGAGGCCCGTCCTGGTCCCTTCGTCTCCAAGCTGACCCAGAGGAGGGCAGTGTCGCCTGGACGGCGCTGCGGAGACCTCCGCCCAGGACAGCTCCCCCTCCCCGGGCCGCTCCCCTCTCGCCCGCGAGTCCCCTCGCCTCTTGGGCCTCTCGGATCTGACACCGTGGGCTGAGGTGAGAGCAGGCCCGGGGAGGCGATTCCAGCAAAGGAGCCGCGTTCGCCATCAAGGTGAGCTGGGACTGCCGGGCTGACCTAGCGGGGCGCGTGGGGGCGGGGTTGGGGGGCACAGGGATAGGGGTGAGTCTGGCCCGCGCCCCTTTCCCCGATTAGCTACCCCATTGCTGAAAGCAACAAGTCCGGGCTAGCCCGAGCCTGGAGGGGCGGGGCCAGATCCGACCTGTCTCAGATCCCAGGGGGTCTAAGTGTCTGCAGGGGGGTCGCGCGGGTCCCGGGGACCAGACCCGCGGCCAAAGAGTTGAACCCCTAACGTTATGTGTCCTCATTCGCCCACCCCTTCCGTAGCCCAGCTCTGAAGTCCCCTGCGTTCCTGTCTTTCAGTTGTGTAGGGAGGGACCGTGTGTGTGTGTGTGTGTGTGTGTGTGTGTGTGTGTGTGTGTCCGTGTCCGTCCAGGGCTTAGCGTGGTGCCCAGGTCACAAATGTGCAATATTAATAGGTAATAAAATTATCAATACACTTTTCAATTTATTAATAAAAAACTCCCAGTCTCCCTCTTGCGGGCTNCCGTCCGTCCAGGGCTTAGCGTCGTGCCCAGGTCACAAATGTGCAATATTAATAGGTAATAAAATTATCAATACACTTTTCAATTTATTAATAAAAAACTCCCAGTCTCCCTCTTGCGGGCTAGATTAGCCTCCCAGCCCCTCCACGTGCTCCCATAACACCCTTAAACTTCCTTTCCTAACACCAATAAAAGTTCACAATTATTGAGCATCGTGTGCCAGGCACTGTGCTAAATTCTACAGGAATCGTCTCATTTAGTCTTCACAGCCAAAGAGACATATTGTTGCCTCATGTTACAGACGTAGAAATAAGTTTATTAATATTGTCCAGTGTTGATTAGGCACCTACTGTATATGCTAAGCTCCACACCTAGGTGACCGCATGTATTCCACACAAGTCAGTGAGGTAGGTAGTGATAACCTCACACCCACTTTACATGAGGAACTAAAGACTAAGAAAAAGTATCTAATTTGAACAGTCTGCGTTGTTAATATGTGGCAGAATACATACTACCATCTAATTTCAAAGTTCTGGGATCCTGTGTTACAACTCATAGTTATTTTCTGACAGTGAATGACTTGAGTATTTCATGGAAGGTTTGCAACTTTTTAACATTGCAGTGACTTAGATTCACTAGCAGCTTTGGGGGTAGGGAAACATGTTATCAAGCTCTTGGCGCAACACTGTGCCGGAAGGGCTATTCTTACCCTTTCTGGGCTTTGTTCTATATATAGATGATAGAGGTACTCACAACAACTGACTCTCAGAAACTGCTACACCAGCTGAACACACTGTTGGAACAGGAGCCGAAATGTCAGCCAAAGGTCCCCGGCTTGAGACTCATTGAATCTGCGCATGATAAAAGCCTCAGGATGACTGCAAGACTAAGGGACTTTGAAGTGAAAGATCTTCTTAGTCTAACTCAGTTCTTTGGCTTTGATACAGAGACATTTTCTCTAGCTGTGAATTTATTGGACAGATTCCTGTCCAAAATGAAGGTATGTTTAAAGCTACGTTACCCTGAGTGTTTGTTTTTTATTTTAATCCTCAACTGAGGATATGTTTTATTGATGAAAGAGAAGCATCAATGAGAGAAAAGCATCAGTTGGTTGCCTCCTGTCCATACCCAGACCAGGGATCAAACCCACAACCTAGGTATGTGCCCTGACCTGGAGTTGAACCCCAAACCTTTTGGTGTACAGGACAATGCAACCCTGCATGGGCCCTGACCAGGAATTGAACTGCCATGATCTCCTGGATCATAGGTGGATACGCAACGGCTGAGCCAAGCCAGCCGGGCTAATTAAGTAACTTTTTTTTTTTTTTTTTTTACAGTATGTGCAGGCATTGCCATTGAATCTATAAATGTTGCACAGATGAATAATAAACATGTCCCTTAGGTATATTACAGTCTTATATGAGAACGTTTGCACCAATAACTATCATACAATACAAGGCATAATAAGAAAAATAATTACATTGTGCCTCTTTAGATATTGCCGAAGGGGTTCCAAGAAGAAGAGAGTACAGACACTGGTAACGGCTGCTTAAAATTTTATTTGAGCTGCAACTTAAGAGTGGAGAGAATTTTGACTGAATTTCACATTGTAGACATTCAGAAAATGATAAATTTAAAAGAGCTTGGTAATAGAGCTTTACAGGCAGAGTGAAAGGTATATGCTATGTTTTAAAACACATGTATCACTACAAAGAAAACAGCCTAAAAAAAACAACATTGTGGAAAGTTTGTGCATAAGCTGTAAGGTGTTCCAGTCTTCATCTAAGCCTTTGACCACTTAACTTACCAACTGGAACACAGTGCTTATAGTTAGTTCCATTGTGGTGGTAAAAAGAATTTTTATGTGAACTCAAACATTATACTGCAGTTTAGTCCAGTTACTCCAAAATTGGTTCCAAGTGGGGTGCATAGGGTTGATAGACTACAGTTGATCTTGTTAATTCCTTCACAGTTGACAAATACACCTCAAAGATACATTTTCATAATGATGGGTCTGAGTTCTAGATTACCCTTTATGTTTTGTTAATTGAAATAAGGTAAAGACATGGGCGTTATTATCTTTTTAGGTACAGCCCAAGCACCTTGGGTGTGTTGGACTAAGCTGCTTCTACCTGGCTGTAAAATCAATAGAAGAGGAAAGGAATGTCCCACTGGCAAGTGACTTGATCCGAATCAGTCAGTATAGGTTCACGGTTTCAGACCTGATGAGAATGGAAAAGATTGTGTTGGAGAAGGTGTGTTGGAAAGTCAAAGCTACTACTGCCTTTCAATTTCTGCAGCTCTACTATTCACTCATTCAAGAGAACTTACCATTTGAAAGGTATGTGGTCTTTGTCTTGAACCGAGGATATTTGGAATCAGAATGGTCTTGTCTGGATGATGCTTACGGTCAGTATCCTGAGAGAATTCCTACCAAAGGACCTGCGGCTCCTTGAATTTCACTTCACTGTCCAGCAGAAGTGAGACTTTAGTTGTCAGTAGTGTCTGGAAGTATGTGAAGGCTAGTTCTTGGGACTAATGGACATTTCAGCTTTTATTTATATTACATTTTCCATGTATAGACTGGTTAACTCATAGAACCTAGTAGGTAAGCATCTAACAGATTTATGGAAAAAGGAACTTCAGTAGATGCAGAAATAGATTAAAATAAAAGGAGACCTTGACAGTTGTGACATACTTTTTTTTTTTTTTCTCAAATCACTTAAAATTCATGTATAGTATCTTTAAGGAGTTCATGTCTCTGAAGGAAAGGGAATTGTTTACTTCAAATCATTAATCTTTTATAAGTGTGTGTATAAACTTTAAAATTGACTTCAATGGTTTTCTAAAAATTTGTCTTTTGACTAGATGTAAAATTCTCTACATAAAATTAATCTCATTTTCTTTTTAAAGGAGGAATAGCCTTAATTTTGAAAGATTAGAAGCTCAACTTAAGGCATGCCACTGCAGGATCCTATTTTCTAAAGCAAAGGTAAATATTTATATGAAGAGTAATCCTATTTATATACCTGTTTTTACAGTCAACATTTACTTTAAAATTTCTCTTTTAGCCTTCTGTGTTGGCATTGTCTATCATTGCACTGGAGATCCAAGAACAGAAGTGTGTCGAGTTAACAGAAGGCCTAGAATGTCTCCAGAAACATTCCAAGGTATGCCAAGGTCATTCCCACTAACAGCTGTAAAAGAAACTAAATCGCTTGTACTGTGTCCTGACGTGAAATGAGATATCATGTGTTTGAAACTTAAGTAAGCTTATCTTCAAATATTTTTGACGCGGAAAGACACATGTTAAGAATGCAATTATTACTGTAGTTAAATACTATAGTACTTTTATTTTAATTGAGGAATGATTTCTTAAAATTTATGTACAGATAAATGGCAGAGATTTGACCTTCTGGCAAGAGCTCGTATCCAAGTGTTTAACTGAATATTCATCAAACCAGTGCTGCAAACCAAATGTTCAGAAGTTGAAGTGGATTGTTTCTGGACGAACTGCACGGCAACTGAAGCATAGTTACTACAGAATAGCCCACCTTCCGACCATTCCTGAAACGGTTCCTTAACTGGTAAACTGTGTTCACAGCTATTCTCCTCATAGAGAAAGTTTTCCAATGCTGTCATTGTCTTCTACAATTCGAGAATTAAGATCTGATTTTCAAAATAAATAAAATGCAGTTGGACTAGCAAAGGAGAAGTAACTTCCTGATCTAGTCAGCTAGTATTTTAGGGTATTAATTACATTCCAGGTACACCACCATTAACAGAAAGGAATTATCCTATCCAACCTTTGACCTATACATTAGCCATTTCATTAAATTATCAGCTTAGAAAACAGCATCCTCTTGAACCACCAGAATCTTAAAAGTAGCACTAAAACAGTAATTTTTAATTGTACATCATTTTGCTTTGTGTGGACTCAAGCTCTGGCTCATTTAAAATTATACAAGCCTGAGTAGGACAACAGGACCAAAAGTTTGAACCTTATATGAACTAATTTGAGACTGTTAGCTTATAAGCAAAATCAGTATGATCTTGGATGTTGTATTTAAAGAAAAAGTAAGTTATGGCAGATGGTCTTTATATTGGGCATTTGGATACCAGCAGGGTACGCTAGTTTGTATCATTGCTATAGCAGTTGGAACACTGGAAAGTAGTTACATGCCTGATTGTCACTGATGGATATTTTCTTGCCATCTAAATTTAACTCACTGTGGTGATTTAATTTTTTTCCTATTCAAAACCCAATGTTAACATTTAACAAGCCTACATGTGGCATGATTGTGAATCTTAAATATGGGCAGTACATCATTTTTAACAGTTAGTAGTATTTATGTTTGGCGAACTTCTGTTAACTTGATTTTTTGTTTGTTTGTTTGTTTAAATAGGATTATTACAGCAACAAAAACCCTTCTCTGAAGCCATTCACCGCAATCTTAGAGGCTGGATTCCATAATGTTGTAGTGAATTTAAGCTGTGAATTGTCAAAACATCACAACTGGATTAGCATTGATGTTCTCAGATTTGGGAAAACTGCCTAATTAATTATGCTGTAGTGGATGAAATTATGCTTAAATTTGAATTCACCTCAGGCATACAAAGCCAAGAACATAATGTGAAATGTTAATGACAAGTCTGGGAAGGTAAACTGTGAATCTCCATTTTTAATATTGATCCAACTTTCTATATTGCGTCGGTATATTTAGGTGGTATTAAAAATGGAAACCTACTTAAATGTAAAATTATGAGGTTTACATCAAAACCAATATTTCACAATTGCACTTTTAAGACATGAGAGTCACTATTTTAGGTGGTGAATATGGTTTCTTAGCACCCATCATGCAAGTAATCTGTTTTCCTTTATTGTAACATGGGAATTACATTTTATATAAAGCAGAACTACATACCTAGTAATTTTGGCATATTAATTTATCTAATTTTTTTTTTTTTTTTTGTAGAAAACAAGTGATGTTTGTGTCCAGGAAAAATGTTTTTATACAAAATCTGCTTTGGTATAGTCCCATCAAGAAAAATAGTTTTATTGTAATAGTGACTCAAAATAAATTAACATCACTCTGAAAACTTGCTAAGTTAACACTCCTGGAGTTTTACTAAAGACTCTTTCTATACAACTGCCATTGCTTCTTTGAATATTTATAATGAAGGGAATATACTTTCACTAATTTCCCCTGCTGCGAAAACAGGTCTTAGGTAAATATGCAGCTTCATAACCATGAGGTTGCTGAGGCAGCCTGCAGGATTTCCTGTTAAGTCAGTGAATATGAGATCTACAGTGTTAAAAGTGTTATAAAGGACTGGGTGTGATGTGTAGCCCGAGTCCATCCAAGACGACGGTACCCAATTCTGACATCATGTTATGGATAAATACACTGAAAATGAACCAAAGAACCACAGTGTATCTTATACTTTTGTAAACAGTGTTTTGTAGGTAACTTTTCAGTTTTCCCAAAAGGCTGATACATTTCAATATTTTTATTACATCTGTGTTGATTCTGAGTTGGCAGAGGTGACCTAACCAACTACTATTGTTTTAGTACTAAAGAATATACACTTCAATAAAGTTAATTGAAATGCACTTCTTTGCTAGGTGGTTTTCTATTTGTTTCTCTTCTGAGTCAACAAATTATTTTGGCAATGTGACGGCAGAACCACAATAAAAAGCTATCTCGATTCAGTCTATTTAAAGTTAGCACTAAAGATGTACGGTAGCAGAAAAAAATCTCTTTAATCTCTTTAATAGTATGGCCATTACCACTTGAAGCTTTACTCATGGTTTTTTAAAAATAAGACACATAATGGTAACACATATGCTTCATATGCATTAAAAAGTTATTTTTATGCACTTTGGTTATTTGTATCATTTAGACTCCTTGCTACTATGGATATCCTTAATACAACTTTACCCTTAGACTCAGCCCATCTGAAGTTTTATGCAAACCCTCTTTACCTCTTTTCCAAATGGTGGCAGATAACTGCCAAGTGTTGTGTTGGCTTGCTTAGGTCAACTGGTAATTGTTGAATTAAAACAATATGTAATTTTGAACTGTTATGTTTAATGAAGTGAACTAAACAAAGCAGACACTACAAGGAATTACTAATGAAAGAAAAACTTAAATGTCTCAAATTAGATATTTAATAGGCCCTCTTTTCACAAGTGTTATTTTTAAAAAGGGTAGGTGAACCTTACCTGTACTTCCAATTATGTGACATACTACCTAAACAACAGACATTTCTGATCTAATATTTGTGGTTAGCAATAATAGTTTTTACTATCAGGTACTACTGCCAGATATTTTGTATCAGTCAGCTCATGTAATCCTCCAAACTGTATGAGGTTACCCCAATTTACAAATAAGCAGGAGCCACAGAGAAGTGACTTGCTCAACGTCAGTACCTGGAGGTGGGATTCAAATACAGGCCATTCTGACCAAAAGGCTGTGCACATTACCTCCCAAAACAAGATTAAATGGACTCCTGTGAAACTGTATAATTTCCAGGCAAAACAGACCGCATTATGATAGGTTACATATGTTATATGGGTAACATATACATTATATTCTGGCCACATTAACTTCAGTGCTAGCATCCTGATCGTAGAAGAACACTCGAGAATTTATTTTTCCTATTTTATACTAACTAATGTTTATAAAATCTGTTATTGCTTACTCTGTGTGAAACCTGTAATTTTTCATAAACCAAAAACAGTAAACATAAATAAGACAAAAGATAAAGTCAATTTTTACATATTCAACAAAGTAGCCCGAATGGGAGTGGCTCAGTGGTTGAGCATTGACCTAGGATCCAGGCGACCGGGGTTCAATTGCCGGTCAGGGCACGTGCCCGGGTTGTGGGCTCGATCCCCAGTCGGTGACGTGCAGGAGACAACCAATCAATGACTCTTATCATTGATGTTTCTATCTCTCTCTCCCTCTCCTTTCCTCTATCTGAAATCAATACATATACATTTAAAAAAAAAAAAATTCAACAAAGTAAATTTAGGAGCAATCAAAATGACCAAGGATAAAGAGGGACTTTAATGACAAAATAAACAGTTTGCCAAGACATGGCATCCTAAATATGTATGCACCTAATATCAGCTTAAAAATACAAGAAGCAAAAACAACACTAAAAGGAAAAATGGACAGAGCTTCAATTATAGTTGGAGACTTAAACATTCCTCTCGGTAATCATTGGAACTACTAGAAAACCTGCAAGGAAGTGGAAGAGCTGAGTAATACCAACAACCCACTGGGTCTACTTGACATAACTTCACCCTAGAATAGGCATTTTCTTCAAGTGCACATGGTACTCTCACCAACACAGACCATATCTGGGGTTATAAAATAAACATTAAGAAATTTAAAAGACCTTAAGTCATGTAAGTATGTTCTTTGAACATAAACTAAAAATCAGTAACAGATAAAGGGAAACTTGCCATACACTTGGAAATGAAACAACAGATTTCTAAATAATTCATGTCTTTAAAGGAAAGTTCCAAGGGAAATAAAATATTTTGAACTCAATGAAAATACCAAAATGTATGGAATGCAGCTAAACCAGTGCTTAGAGAATAATGCATAATATTAACGGCTTTTATTAAGAAAAATGGCCTCAATAATCTAAGCTTTCATTTTCAGAAACAAGGAAAAGCAAAATAAAGCAAAAGGGGTAAAAAACCCCACATTGAACTAGGTAACAGGAAAATCAACAAAACTGAAAACTATGTAGTTCCTTAAAAAGAGCGATGCAATTGATAAACCTCTAGAGAGAGTGACAAGAGACAGAAATGACTAATCTTAGGAATGAAAGATACTACTACAGATTCTAGACATTAAAAGGACTCCAAGGAAATGGACCACAAACAACTCTATGCTCATAGTTAGATGAAATGAATCAATACTGAATGGCATGAACTACCAAAACTTAGCTAAATAACCTGAATAAGTTCTGTAAGTATTCTTAAAAATTGATCCATTGTTAAAAATGTTACTGACAAATCCCATAAAACATTTAAAGACTTAAATTCTACAAATCTCTTCCAGAAAGCAGCAGAATCACTTCCAATTCGTTTTGTAAGGCCAGCATTACCCTGATACCAAACCAAGATAAAAACAGAACAAACGAAAAACACTATGTACTAATATCCCAAATGAACAAACAGATGCAAAAATCCTCAACAAACAAATCCAGGTATATAAACTAAATAATTATTCTGTGACCAAGTTTGGGATGGGGCAAGACAGGAGCTGGTTCAAAATCTGAAAATCAATATAATCCAGCGTATTAACAGTCTAAAGGAAAAAAAATGACTAAATCAATTGATAACTGAGAAAGTCATTTTGAGAACATTCAAATCCACTCATGAGAAAAATCCAGCTAACTAGGAAGTAAAAGATGAGAACCTCCTCAACCTGATAATGGTCATCTACAAAAACCTACAGCTAATGTAATACTTAATGGTGAAAGACTGCTCTAGAAACTAACATCCAGAATGAGACAGGATGGCTGCTTTTACCACTTCTGGCAAGTGCAATGAAGCAAGAAAAATAAAAGACCTATGGACAAGAAAAGACAAAACACCTGTTCTCATTTGTGGTTCATGAAGAAAATCACAAGGAGTAAACAACAAAAACTTCCTACAACTAATAAATGAGTTTAGCAAGATCACAAGAAACAAGGTCAACAAACAAAAATCAGACATTATTTCTATGCACTAGCAATGTACAATCAGAAAACAAAATTTCAATAAATAGTCATTTACAACAGGTCCAGGAAATGAACACCTAGGATTAAATGTAAAAGATATAAAGGTTCCATAAGCAGAAAACCACAAAATGCTGATGACTGAAATCAAAGGGTCCTATATGGAAACAAACCCCATGTTCTCGGATTAGAAGGCTTAACATGCTATTCCAATGAAAACCCCAGGATTTTTTGCAGATATGGACTAGCTGATTCTAAACTTTATACAGAAAGGCAAAAAAACCTTAAAATACCCAAAACTATTTTGAAAAGAATTAAGTTGAAGGAATTATGCTACGCAATTTTAAGACTTACCATAAAACTATAATTATCAAAGCAGTGGGGTATTGACAAAGGGACACAGAGGTCAATGGACTAGAGACCAAAAACAAAACCATGTAAGTAGAAATTGATTTTTGACAAAAGTGCAAAAACAATTTAATGGAGAATGGATCATTCAACAAATGATTTTGAAACAAACGGACATCCATATGCAAAATAAAGAACCTCCCCCTCTATTGCACAGCTTACACACACACACAAAATAGGCCATAGATCTAAATGTAAAACAAAATTGTAAATCTTTTAGAAAAAAACTTGGAAAAAATCCTTATAACCTGGGATTACTCAGAGTTCTTAGATGGACACCAAAAGCATGATCTACCAAAAGCATGATGAATAATTAGATTATATCAAAATTTAAAACATTAATGTTTCAAAAGACACCATCAAGAAAGTAAAACAACACCTACACAATAGAAAATATATGCAAATCGTACATCCAACAAGGGATTTGTGTCCAGAATATATAAAAAATTCTTAAAATTCAATAAAAGAACAGCTAACCCAATTCAAAAATGGGTAAAGTATCTGAATAAACATTTCTCCAGAGAAGATACACAAATGGTAAACAAGCACAAGAAAAGATGCTCAACAGATTTAGTCAGGGAAAGGCAAATGGAAACCACAATGTGATACCACTTTACATCCACTAGTATGGCTAGAATCAAAGTCACATAACAAGTGTTGACAATATGTGGAAAAATTAGAATTCCCATACACTGCTGGGGGGAACATAAAGTGGTATAGGCACACTGGAACAATCTAGCAGTTCCTCAAACGATTAAACATAGTTTCCATATAACTTGTGCTTCCACTCCTCAGTAAGAAATGAAAATATACCTGCACATAAAAACTTGTACTTGAATGTTTATAACAGCATGACTCATAAGAGCCAAAAGGTAGAAACCTCCCAAATGTCCATCTCCTAATAAATTGATAAACAATGTGTGGTAGTGACACATAAAATGTTACTTAGCCATGCATACAAAAAAATGAAGCACTGGCACAATAACGTGGAAAAACCTCTAAAACATTATGCTGAGTGACAGAAGCCAGTAAATAAAAGACCACATATTATGACTTCATAAATATGAAATGTCCAGAACAGGGAGATCTGAGATGGGAAGTAAATTAGTGGTTGCTTGGGGCAGGAACTGGGGTGAGGATGACAGCTGTGGCATCGCCCTGGCCAATGTCGCTCAGTGGTTAGAACGTCAGCCCTCATACCGAAGTGTCTCGGGTTCCATTCCAGGTCAAGGGCACACACTTGGGTTGCAGGCTTGCTCTCCACCCCTTGTCAGGAGTTGGGGCATGTGCGGGAAGCAACCAGTATGTCTCCGACATCGCCGTTCCTCCCTCCTTCCTTCCTTCCCTCCATCCCTCCCTTCCATTTTCTCTGAAAAGCAATGGAAAAAAATATTCTCAGGTGAGGAGTAACAAAAATTTTTTAATAAAAAAGAAAGGAAATAAATAGGATGAAATAAAATTTCAAGGCAATTCTTACCTCTACGCCTGGAACACTGAAGATCAAAATGATGTCACTGATTTATAATCATTGACCGTAACTTGTTTTTGGCACTTACAATACACTTGCCCAATAATCATATTTACTTCACCAAATCTCTTTTGTATTAATTCGTTCCTACTATTTTTCAATTTCTTGACATATAGTGATCTCTCAAAAAAATATACTTAATAAAAATTCAGAGATTTTCATTAACTCTTAAAATTACTCAGAATATATTTGGGGATTTTTTTCCCTTTCTTAAGTTTTTTTTTCAGTAATATGTCGTTGTGTGAACTGGTATACTTAGACAGAAGGGTACACAATTCCTATTTACAAAATTTTATTGAACATTATTCCTACATCACACTTATTAACAGAAAAAAACTGAATTTTTCCTGATGGCACCCTGTCATTTCATATGATCCAGGCCCTAATTTTTTTGTATTAAAAATATAGGTTAAATATAAAATTAGTAAAATGCAGCATATGAAACTTCATGCTGAGCAAAAAGAAGTCCAAAAAAAGTTACCATATATCAACAGAATAGTTCCCACAGTATTTGAGGCTTCCTATGTAAATCATGTTTGAATGCAATTTTTAGAACCATATTTAAATATATTTTGAAATTTGTTAACTGTAAGCATCCACATTTTTCTTCCACCACATAATCTGTTCCTTTGATGAAGTCGACAACATCTGCTACAGTCCACAGAATGCAGCAAAAAAACAGTAGTTATTTCTCCAGATTTGAGAAATCTGGTCCACCTTTGGTATAGTTTCCTGAGATTTCTGCTCCACTGAAGTCAAAACCGGGATTCTAAAAGATACAGAAAAAAATTTATGATAAAAGTTAGAAAAGATATGAACTGTCAAGTGACAAAAAAGGAAACCTAAACGGCCAATAAACATGTAAAAATGTACCAAACTTCACTGTAATCACCAGAATGAAACTTAAAACTATAAGGTATTTTTTAATTTTCAGACTTATAAATATTTAAAAAATCCAATATGTGTGTTTCAATGTTGACAAGTGTATAGACAAACACATACTTTAGTATCAGTGTATAAACAGCTTTTAATAGCATTTTTTTTGAGACCTTACTATATGCCAGGCAGGGTTCTAACAGCTATACATACATTAACATAGTTAATCTTCCTAACAATCCTAGAAAGTAAGCAGTACTTCAGGTTTTAATCTTTTGGAAGGACATTTCATTTCGACATTAATTAAGTTCCTACTGTTTGGAAGATACCATTAGAGGCATATGGAATTCAAGAGTGAACAAACAGCCTGGCCAGTAGGGCTCAGCGGTTGAGCATCAACCTATGATCCAGGAGATCTCTGTTCAATTCCCGTCAGGGCACATGCCCAGGTTGTGGGCTCAATACCCAATAGGGGGCGTGCAGGAGGCAGCCAATCAATGACTCTCTCATCACTGATGTTTCTCTCTCTCCCTGCCTTGCCTTCTCTCTGAAATCAATAAAAACATTTTTAAAAAAAGAAGAAAGAGTGAACAAAGATCCCTGCTTCGGTGGAGTTACACTCTAGCAGGAGACAAATAATAAACCATTAAGTTATCGAGTGCAGGAGTCAGCAAACTTTTCTGTCAAGAGCCAGGTAGTAAATATGTTAGGCTTTGAAGACCACACAGTCTCAGTCATAACTACTCAATTCTGCTGTTGCTATTATGAAAGACAAAACACAAATGAATGAGCATGGCAATGTTTCATAAAACTTTACTTCAAAATCAGGCAGTGGGCTGGATTTGACCATGGGCCATAGTTTGCAGGCCTCTGATTGAGTGTATTGAGAGTTGGAATCTAGTATGTTAAAAGTTGGTAAAGTGCTGCCTAGCCAGTGTTGCTCAATGGTTGGGCACTGTCCCATGCACCAAGAGGTTCAATTCCCAGTCAGAGCACGTGTCTGGGTTGCAGGCTGGGTCCCCAGTGGAGGGGGGGAGGTATGCAGAAGTCAGCCAATCAATGATGTTTCTCTCTCATTGATGTTTCTATCTCTCTAGCCCTCTCCCTTCCTCTCTCTAAAAATCAATAAAAACATATTAAAAAAATAAAAGTTGGTAAATGCTATAGAAAAAAAAATAGGGCAGAATAAGAAAAATAAAAAGGTTACAGTATTTAAACAGGATGATCAAAGCTCAAAGAATGGGCATTGAGTAATGACTTGAAAACAGTGAAGTCAGCCAAGCTTTGGGAAAAGAACATCACAGTCAAAAGGACAGAAAAGGAATGGCCTGACATGTTTAAGAAACAGCAAAAAGGTCTGTATGGCTAGAGCAGAATGACTGAGAGGGATAGTACCGACGGAGGTCAGGAGATCAGGGAAGACCAGATCAGATAGAGCCTTGTAAGAGACCTTGTGCTTCACTAGAGTGAAAGAGTTCTGAGAAGAGAAGTAATGTAATCTGACTTGCACTTTAAAAGGACTGCTCTAATTGCTATTTTGAGAGGACTGTAGTTTGGAAAAGGTAGAAGTGAAGAGAAGAATTAGGTTATTGAAGTAATCTAGACAAGATATTAGAGGTAGTCCAGACCAGGTAGAAGTGGCAGTACCAGTAAAAATGCATGTTTCCTGACAAAATGCATAGGGTGTGAGAGACAGGGAGGAATGGAGGATGATTCCCTATTATTATTTTTTTAATTTGAACTTGTGTCCATCAACTGAGGTGAGAAGCCTAGAGGTAGAACAAATGTGAGAGAGAAGTTAGGATGTTCATGTTGGACGTGTTGAGTTTAATATGTTTGTTAGCCAAGTGGAGATGTTGGATAGGCAATTGGATGAATCCAAAACTCGGGAGAAAAGTCTAGGCTAGAGATAGACATTTGGAAATCGCCATAGAGATGGAAATTATCCATGAACACTTTAACAGTGCTTCGATCCAGTAATTCTCCTAAACATCTATCTTAAAGGAATGTTTGAATAGTTTCAATAATTTCACAGAGATGAAAGTACAAACTTTGTTTGAAATAGCAGACATAAACGGGGACATCTAAATCGTATCAAGTGGGAATAGCTAAATATTACAATAACATTCAAACTAGAAAGCACCCTGGAGAGGCTAAAGAAGTGAGTTTTATCTATGTGCACTAACAGGGAAAGAGATGCAAAACATATTAAAAAGGAAACATGAAGAATATACACAGTGTGAGTCTCCATTTATGTTAAAGACAAAATAAGCCAACATATTAATGAGGTGAGGCTGAGACAGAGGCATGGAAAGCAGAGATGTTGATGAAGGGGTGTTTCACTTTTTTACACTATGTAAGTCTACAGTGATTGAGTTTTCATGAGTTTATTCAGACATTACTGATGTACATTAAATAAATTAAACTTAGATATCACAATAGTATAAATTCTCAAGAAATTTTTTTAAAAAAATCCATACATAAAAAGGTCAGACTTGCCCTGGCTGGTGGCTGCTCACTGGTTAGAGCACTGGCCCGAGCACCAAACGGTCCCGGGTTTGATTCCCAGTCAAGGGCATGTACCTGGGTTGCAGGTTTGATCCCCAGCCTGGTCTGCGCTCGAGCAGGAAGCAACCAATTGATGAGTCTCTCTCACATCGATGTTTCTCTTTCCCCCTCCCTCCCTTCCACTGTCTCTGAAAAAATATCAATGGAAAAATATCCTAGGGTGAGGATTAACAAAAAAATAAATAAAATAAAAATAAAAAAGGCAGTCCTTTTTCTAACCATTTAACTTTAAAAATTCCTCTATAGAACTTTTGTCATTGTTATAACCTCATGAGTTTTAATTTCAAAAAATAATTATTCTATGTTTTTAAGATGTTTAACTACACACATTCATACATTTATCTGACTTACTTCTTTCTGGAATCTCTCTAATGTAAGTTTTCTCTGCATTTGATCTTGCACCCAAGGATCAGCTGCATATTCAGATTCTAGAAGAGAAGTCCAACAATTTGCTGCATCTCTCTTTGTCTTTGTAAGAACGATACGAACCATTTTTCTGTCCTCTAAACAAAAATGACAAGTAGTTAGAGTTCATCAATTTTTACATTTTCAAAAACCATTAGGTAATCTTGACACACAATTGCTGTCAGTACATTTCTATTATTATAGCTTCCAAAGCCACAAAGACAAAGCACCTAATACAACAGGGAAAACATACTGAGTTCCAAGACAAAATTAATGTTTACAAAGACCCTAGGATTTATAATAGATTACCCTTACCCAAAGTCCACGTTCCTTCATCAGCTATTGTCGAATCAAAGAGTTTGCCCTGAAAAACAAACATAAGATACAAAAAATATAGAAGCTTCATTAATTTTTACAAAGCTTTCACGATTCAAGACTTACCTAATTTCCTATCTAACCCACAAATTGTCTAATTTGGTTAGAATAGCGACACAAAATTTTACACCATTTCAACACATTGACAGGTCCTCAACCCTAAGTTTCCTCCTAGCAGGTGAAATGAAACCTAGTTTACACTGCTTGGAATATTTACTATGACAGAAAACACAGGGCTCTCTGAAGATCAGGGACCCTTGATTTTTATAAGATGAAGACAGACTACTGATCACTGATCAGCCAAACAGAAAATTAATACCTGAAATGCTTTATCAATTAAAATAAATTACAAGAGCTGTCCTGATGGAATTAAGAAGAAATGATGTCTTTTAAAATAAACTTTTAAAAACTGGCTCAATCTCTTTGTTGGGCAGTTTGGCATTAAAAGATTATTTTAGCACCTACTATGGATCTGAGGTAAGATCAGCTGTTACTGTTTTCCTTCAGAAACTCCTTTTACGTAAGCAGCAAAATGTAAGTCTAAAAGAGAATGTGTCTGCTGAAACCCATTTATTTGTTGCTTACCAAATGTTTTAGAAAATGTTTTAAAAAAAAAAGAACACTTTTTTTTCATGTCGATACTTGTGAAAAAACCCTACCAGTCTAAATGCACACCTAAAATCCTAGTTATTGCTCAATTCCCAAATTACTGGAATTACTAAGATAAATTTGAATTGTAATCTTAAACCACTGTTCAGGAAGCTATGAACTGCAGAGCTATTCAGAAAAGTCATTTAGATCCACGATGACAGAAATCAGAGTCTTTCCCATGAATCTTCCTTTTCTCGAAGGCACTCAAAGAGCTTCCATAGAAAACAACAGCTCAGACCTGTGTGTTTATCACATACGAGGCCCTGCTCCAAGCTCTGCTTTCACACGGGTACCATGCTATGCCCAAAACAGTCCTACAAGAAAGGTGCTTTAATGACTGCACTTTATGGATCCAGGTTAGACACACTGACAAATCTCTTGCCCAAGACTTCAAAACTAGAAAAAAATGGCATAACCAGGTGTCCTCCCGAGACAGTCTTTAACAGTGCCATCAAACATCTTGGGCATCTAAATCTGAGAAAGGAGTCTAACTTGGACTTCACTGAATTTAACTATAAAGCTTAACAAGGCACAAGCGGGTCCCTGACCCAAAGGGCTGGCACCGGTGAGCGTAAAAGGGGTTATTTTCTTCACACACCTCTTGACCATCTGCTTAACCAAAAAGTCCAGAAACGTGCAGAACTTTCCCGATTTTCAAGGAGGAAAAAAGCAAACAAACACCTGACACCCCCTCTGAATCCGCATCCCGATATCCTGCTCCTGGATTTTCTTCTTTACTTCTCCCGTAACTGCCTGAGCAGCCATTGTTTTGGTTTTCTGAGGCCTCCCTAACTTGCCATAACCCGAGCGCGGAAACCCCATCGGTCTCGTTCAGCGCGGTCCTCCCCGCGCTCAGGGCGGTGTCTGGAGCATAAATATTCGTCTCTTTAACCATCTAGTTCAGCCGTTCTCAGCTGAAGACCCGCAGAGACAGAACAGAAGCAATTTATTTCATTTGGTTTAGAAAGCATGCCAGAAAAACGGGCTCCTCAAATCTCCAAGTCGACTCAGCACTGGCCCTGGAGGTGGAGGTGGAGGTAGAGGGCTGCGACCAGACCGAACTCAGGCCGGACAGCGAAGCCCCGCGGCCTCCCAAGTCCTCCTACGGACGCCAGGAGCCCCGGGGCGCGGGGATTTGGGGAGGCCGCGAAGACACGGGGCACAAGCCCCGACCTGCCGCTACCTTGAGGATCTCGCGGCCACCCACCGCCAGCGCCACATGCCGGCTCCGCAGGTCGCACCGGACATCTTGGGCGCGAGTGCCCGGCGGCACCTGAACTTCAATGAACACCTCCTCCAGGGTCTGGTACCACTGGCCCCACGGCGTCCCGCACGGCACCACCCCGCTGCGCTCCTCAAACGGGGCCGACATGCTCCAGGGGCCTCCCGGCGGCAGCCGCGCTGAGCGAGCTGAGCGCAGGCGCCGGGTCGCCACGCTCAGGCCCCGCCCCGGCCGCTCCGCTCAGGTCACCGCTCATGCGCAGCAATGGAAGCGGAGCTCTCGGCGCTTGTTTCTCCCTTTCAGTGGCTATTCAGGATCCTGGCAGGACCCAATTTGAAAGAACTGAAACCCGAGAAGTTTATATCCCAGGAACGGCAGGCGAGGGTTGGAACGGGCGAGGCTGGAACTCACTGCACCGCCCCCTTTGTGACGCCACAGGCCCACTTCCCAGCTTCTCGAGTTGAAGCGCGCTTGCGCAAATGCTGCTTGGCGGTAGGTTACAAGTCAGTAACGCCAGGAGTGATTGGGCGCAGGAGGGGGCGGGGCGCGGAGACCGTAACGGTCTCCTATAGGCTGGTAACTTGAACTCACAAGCTACGTAATTGGACCCGGAGAGAGCTGAGTGCGCATGCTCTTTGTAGGTCCCTTCTCTGGATTGGTTTGCCCTGAGTTTTGGTTTTTCCGATTGGCTAACGCCGGGGTGGGCGGGGAATGAGCCGGGAGATTTGAATTTGAAGTTAGGATTGTCAAAATCGGCACCAGGAAGTAGCCGAGGAACGCCAGTTCCCTCCGGCGTGTGGAGCTGGTGGTCAGCATGTCCTTCCCTAAGGCGCCCCTGAAACGCTTCAATGACCCTTCTGGTGCGTACGGGGGAAGAAACTGGGTGACGGGAGTTGCTCTCACGCCCCTTGCCCCTTTCGGTTCCCTCCATCACAAGAGAAATAAGCGATTTTTAGGGCTGGCCATGCTGTTTGTCTGTGCTTGTGGATTTCTTTCTGGACATTCCATTCGGGCATAAAAGAAAGAAGGTTGGGAAAGGCAGTTTGTCGACTGTAGAATTACGGCAGTATCGGTGGAAAAACACTGTAAAGGACGTGATGACAGCTCATCTTGGCGGTGGCCCAGGCGCCATACTGTGTGTTTACCTAGATGACTGGTTCGCTTCTCATTCCCCCAGCGTCCTGGAGAGAGAATCCTGCGCATGATCTTCCTGATGAGATGGCCGAGCCTTGGGTTTCCTCAGGGTCACACAAGCCAGCCGGCAGACCTGGCGCCTGCAGCGGGGCCGTGGTGAAGCCCGCCCTGGGCTCCGGACCCTGCGGCGCGTGAGCGCAGCAGCCCGCTCGCCTCGGACGCGCTTGGGAAGCGCTCGGGCGTTTATCACACACTCGCTCTGTGCTAAGATATTTCCTCCTAGGTCTGGTTTGTTTTTTTCCAACAGCCGAACGAGGAAGGTATTGATTCCGCCCGTATTTTGCAGATGAGGAAACGGGGCTTTTGCCACGGCACCGAGCGGCCTGTCAGTGGTAGAGCGGAACCGTGACCTATGCATGATATATAAACATACTCGTTTCGTGGTCACCTGTCTTTAATCTCTGGCAGACGGCATGCAAACGGGAATGTTCTTATTCACGATCTTCTCCCAGTGACCCCACAGGACCTGGCCCGCAGTAATGTCCGCCGATGGGCAGATTAAGCCGGATTTGAATCCTAATTACAAAACCCTTGCTCCCTTTGTCACGTCCCCAGTGGCTCTCTGTGTTTTCTTCACCACACCGCTTAACCTCAGCCCTGAGCAAAGTACAGGGGACACAGTCATGATTAAGACAGTCCCCGCCTCCAAGCAGCTTGCCTAAGGTGGGAGGTGGGTAAGTTACAGGCGCTGTCTCACGTGGGACGTGGATGCCTGCACCGTGTAAGCAGGCCTTTACCAAACTGGGTCCCCACGGGCTCCCCTGTGAGGGCTCTGACCCGACGGGGAGATTCAGAGAAAACCAGAGGAGGCGACCGCAGGCTGAGATCTGGAGGATGAGTGAGAGTTAGCCAGGCCAAACGGAAGGTGGACTAGCCATTCGAGGTGGAAGAAATAGGAACGAAAAAGTTCTGGAAGTTTGAAGCATTTATTTAATTTAATGCATAAAGCGTTTGTTTGCATACAAGTATTCGCTTTCTGCCTTAGCTTCTGGTTATCCTTGATCAAGATATAAGTTGTTCCATAAAGCTTGTGCTATCTCCCAGGTTATCCCTTTTCTTTTGTCTGATGTTCCCTCTCCCCAGATTTCTAACAAGTCTTGTCTACAATGTAGTACATTTAAGTCTTATAAAAGGGAAAGACCTATGGCATGAAAACAGCATATGCCCCAGTCTTAGGGATGGTAGGTACAGGCAGGCTGTCAACCTAGTTCTTGAATCTAGATACCTGTGACTATCGAATTTGACTCTTCAGTCTTTTTTGTCTTTTTTAAAAAAATTTTATTGATTTTAGCACAGCGTGGCTCAGGGGTTGAGCATCGACCTTGGATCCAGGCGATCAGGGTTCGATTCCCAGTCAGGGCACATGCTCTGGTTGTGGGCTCGATCAATGACTCTCTCATCATTGATGTTTCTATCTCTCTCTCCCTCTCCTTTCCTCTCTCTGAAATCAATAAAGATATATTTAAAAAAAAAAAAGAAAGCTTAAAAAAAATAAATAAAAATAAATAAATTTTATTGATTTTAGAGAGAGATACAGAGAGGGACATCTATGTGAAAGAGAAGTGTCAGTCGGCTGCCTCCTGCACACCCCACACCGGGGACTGAGCCTGCAACCTGGGCATGTACCCTGACCAGAAATCGAACCAGCGACCTTTGGGTGCACGGGACAACACTCAACCAACTGAGCCGCGCGGGCCAGGGTTTCACTCTTCAGTCTTTAGAGAAGAGTTTTTAAATATGGTTTTAATTGTTCTCAACTTGCATGATTCTGCGTAGTTACTGCCCACCATCCCACCTTTTGCTGGCCCTCATCCCCTTTTGGGAGTGTGGACCTAACGATGAACTAAACACTAGAAGGCCGCACGACTTTTTTTCTGGCTGCTCTGCCAAGTCTAGAACAGTGGTGCTCACACTTTTCCAGAAAAGCATCCCTAAGAACAGAGAGCAAAAGATAACCATCCCTTCATCCCCACTTTCCCCAAAAACGCTTCGCCTGCAGTAGTGGTGGCAGTTTTCTTTGAAGTCTCCTGTTTGCTTTAAAATATAATGTGCTCCCCGTTGACACCCCCGCCCTTATCCCAAATGAGTAATATAGATGCTCTAAGATGTGCCACCTTTAACCTAATTGGGGGGAAACCCCTTTCACCCTACGTTCACTCCATGTTGTGTTAAGAGTTGTGCAGTGTGAGAAATCTGAGCCGGCCAAGACTGATGCTTTTTGCTCAGTCTGCCTTAACCTTAGATACCCCTGTGAATTCTATACTTCATTTAATACTCTCTCTCCTGATTGGAAACACACTACCTCTATCCCTTATTGACCACATTTAGATCTGAAAGCTCCCAGGATTGGAATCTATATCAGTATGTATAAATGATCATTGTTCTAGGTAGAAGAACGGAAACTTAATTCCATTCTTGATGTTTTTATAGCCTACTTAGAATTGAAAGCAATGACTTTAATACTTTTTGTGTCCCAGGATGAGAAATAAACTGTATATCTCTATGTGGGATATATCTTTATATTTCTACACAAAACTGAAACAGAAGTACCAGAAAACAGTGCTTGAATTTGCTATGTGTGAGTAACACTGATATTTTCTGTTGTTTCACTTTTTAAAAAACTGTTAGTCAAGATATCTAATGAACTTTTGTCATCCCTCTTGAAAAACACTTAGGGGAGAGTAGGAGTTGCCTTGGAATGCTCAAATTCCCTGCTGCTCCTATTTATTTGCATGAAACTCTGGACTCAAGTAAATAGCTTTTCAGAGAATAGTATAACTCTGTTGATTCCCAATAAACTAAAGCTTTATGCTAGTGACATTTTTCAGTTGTTAATCCTCACCAGAGGATATTTTTTCCATTGATTTTTAGAGGGAGGGAAGGGAAGAGAGAGAGAGAGAAACATCAATGTGACAGAGAAACATTGATTGTTTTTACCTCCCACACGTGCCCTGACCAGGGCCAGGGATCGAACCTGCAATCCAGGTACATGCCTGCCCTTGACTGGGAATTGAACCCACAACCCTTCAGTGCAAGGGCCAATGCTCTAAATACTGAGCCACACCGGCCAGGGCTATGCTAATGACATTTTTATTATTGTCACCCCTGACCACCAGATCTTACATTTGCTATGCATAAACACTCTGAAATGCCTTTAATTTGGGACCCCAGTTGCTTGCATGAAGTTACACAATATACATTTCTGGAACATAGAAATATAGCCTATGGCTTTATAAATTTTCTGATGTATTGATATTAGCCAGAGATGGATTATCACTATAAATTTATATTCCAGCCCAGCTGGTGTGGCTCAGTGATTGAGCGTTGACCCATGAACCAGGAGGTCATGGTTCGATTCCCTGTCACGGCACATACCCATGTTGCGGGCTCAATCCCCGGTAGTGGGTGTGCAGGAGGCAGCGGATCAATGACTGTCATCGGTGTTTATATATCTCTCTCCCTTCCTCTCTCTAAAATCAACACAATCATATTTTTTAAAAAATTTATTCCAGGCTAAATCTTGAGGGCTAAGACACTTTTAGTTGCTTCACTTCTAGAATCTAATGGTAGTAAACTAGTTAACCTCAGTGACTCTGAGTAGAGCTGATTCCAAATATGTTCTCTCTTATAGTAAATCCTAATAAGAAAACCATGTTGCTTGGTCTTACAAGATGTTCACCCCAGGACTGTCTTTGCTGTTTTGCTCAGTCGCCTGCGTTCCTTTGACCCAGTTGAAATAAAGGGCATTTGGGAAGATGATGATACTGTTCCTCATATCAAATGGGTGTTATGTTACATTTGAAAGAACAAAGCATTTACTAATGGAATTTTTTACATTTATGTTACTCACTTTCCTTGGGCATGTTTTTAACTTAGACTTGTAAGTAGCATTAGATGAGAAGTTGATGTTTTATGTTTCCTCTAGGCTGTGCACCGTCTCCAGGTGCTTATGATGTGAAAACTTCAGAAGTATTGAAAGGACCGGTATCCTTTCAGAAATCACAAAGATTTAAAAAACAAAAAGGTAATGGATCCCAAAATAAAATAATGGTTATATGGTCTCAAAAGTTTTAAGTTATGATTAACAGTATATACATTTAAAGACATTATGATATTTCTAAGAGTGTGAAACTACAACTATACTTACATTTTTGTTTTTGGTTGATTTATAAGAGGGTCAACTAAAGAATAATGCCTTCCTTATTACACAACTGTGTAATCAGGAAAATGAAGTGAGACACAGAGATACACAGTTTCCCTTTTGCTAATTACCTTGGCCTTCTGTCAGGGAACAACAGGAAAAATCAGAAAAATGTTAGATGTGTAAAACATATGTGCAACTAATTATTTGGAAATGTACAGTCCAGAAAAGAATAAATTTATATTGCTTCACTAATAGTCGCAGTAAGAAATTTTGAAATTATGTTTTGCCTGTGGTTCAATTTATTGCAGAATCTCAACAAAATGTTACTCTTGACAAAGAAACTACCTTGCCTGCTTCAGCAAGGAAAGTTAAGACGTTGGGATTAAAGGTGAGGAGCTCTTATGTTCTACCTGGTTTATGAACTGTATCATTGAAAATATTTCTGAAAGGGACTGCATTTCACTAGACTGGGTTAAGTACTAAATTTATAAGGAAACCTATAAAGTAGTGAAATAGATTATCATTAGGACCCCAGTAAGTTTTATATTTCTGCCTACACCACTGCTAAATATATTGTGCTTAAATGTACCCCCAGTTCAGAATTACAAAATGGTTTCCACTTCTCAGTCATTTCTATGTCTAGATAAATTTTATAGTAAAAGTTTAAAAATTATTTGATGTTTTGATTTGTAGTTACCATCATTTGAGTTGTTTTGTTTTTGTTTGGGGAGAAGGGTAAGTACTGATAAAGAGAAAGGAAAAAAATATTCTAATGCCTAAAAGATGTTTACTGTTCAAAAACTGCCAAGGAATGGTGAGAAATTAAATTTGTATTGGCTTCAAGTTACTGCTTGTGCAAGAGCCTACTATTACTGTTTGTTTCCATTAGTTCATAAAAGCACGTTGTACTTTTTTTATTTTTATTTTTTTATTGACTTTAGAAAAAGGAAGGGGGAGGGAGAGAGAAATATTGATTAGTTGCCTCCTGCACACCCCCTACTGGGGATGGAGCCTGCAAGCTAGGTATGCACCCTGACCGGAAATTGAACCATGACCTCCTGGTACATGGGTTGGCGCTCAACCACTGAGCCATATGGGCCAGGCCAAATTGATTTTTAATTTTTTTATTTTTATTTTTAAATATATCTTTATTGATTTCAGAGAGAGGGAAGGAGAGGGAGAGAGAGAGATAGAAACATCAATGATGAGAAAGTCATTGATCAAGCCCGCAACCCGGGCATGTGCCCTGACTAGGAATCGAACCCTGATCACCTGGATCCCAGGTCAATGCTCAACCGCTGAGCCACGCCCGGCCGGGCCAAATTGATTTTTTAATGTGATAAGGATTCCGAGTTGGGAAACTGAAGCCATAGGTTGAGCTTAGACTTGTTCATTCCTTTGGCAATTACTCCTGTGTCTCTTATTCTGGAATAAAGAGTTGCATGTCTAATAAGGACATGATTAGTCAGCCACATGTGGCTACTGAGCATTTGAAAGTGAAGAACTACATTTTTAATATTTAGTTTTAATTAATATGCATATATTTAAAAGCTGATACTTGATTCTGTTGTTGGAAAATTCTCAAATGTTTTCAGAACAACTTAGGCATGCAAATCTACTTTTTCACCTGTATGTTTTATGAAATCTAAATACAGATAGATATTTCTGATGAAAATTTAGAACCTGAATTGAGATGTGCTGGAAGTGTAAAATGCACAGCAAATATTGAAGACCTGGAACAAAAAATATAAAATACCTCACTAATAATTTTATACTAATGACATGTTGAAATAATATTTTTGGTATTTTGGGTTAATTAAAATATATTATTAAAAAACTTTACTTTTTAAATATCGCTACTAGAAAATTTGAAGATGAATATATGACTTGCATTATATTTCTCTTGGGCAGCAGTGATATAGACATTCTTCTTGGAAATTGATGTAAATTTCCTGGAGAAACAGTTCTGAAATTTTTTTTATTTTTATTTTTTAAATATATCTTTATTGATTCCAGAGAGAGGAAAGGAAAGGGAGAGAGAGAGAGAGAGTAAAACATCAATGATGAGAGAGTCATTGATCGAGCCCACAACCCGGGCATGTGCCCTGACCGGGAATTGAACCCTGATTGCCTGGATCCCAGGTCGATGCTCAACCGCCGAGCCACGCCCGTCCGGGCTGAAATTTTTAATTAATTATAGAATTCAAAAACCCTCTTAGAAAACTAAATTAAAAACAAGTCTCAAGTTTGTGCAAAACCTCAAAATAATAGGCCTTTCTTGATAGAAAATGCCATCAGGTGGTAAATTAATAAATGTGAGACTGATGTGTAACCCCCCCCACACTTAAAAACATATAAAACAGATTTCATTTAAGATGTGTATGCATTTTCTTCCATTTTTAGATGGAAAAGATAGTCATTCTGTTTTTCGATCATAGTCTCAAAAAGCCTGTTGCATATAAAAAGATGTAGTATGAAAATTATGTCTTATTTAGAATAAAGTAGATTAGGAGCTTGTACCATTTCAGTTTTTCTTTATTTCTTTGAATTTTCCCCCCTCTTTGGCTATTTAAGTTTAAACTGATTTCTCTTTGTAAGATTCTTTTCTTTCTGAGATAGCATGATTAAATATTCAAAATGCATTGCTGTTTAACTTTAGAAAGAAGCAGTCAGTCGCTTTAGTCATAAAGCTCCAGCTGTTCTTTTCACTGGACTTGTTAGGAAGATAAACAAACAAAAAACAAATCTATTGGGATCAAAACTTTTAAGCCTGAAATATTTTGAGATTTGAAGAACCTTTTCCCTCATTTAGTAAGGAACCTACAAAATATTTAGTAGACTCAGGGAAATGTTTAAAATAGAAATCAACAGTTTGGACTCCTCAGTGTTTTCTGATAACTAAAAATCAAATTCATTTGTGATGTTCATTACGCTTACATTTGATCATCCCTTGTTCTTTGACTTTTAAATAGAAGGAATCTCAAAAGAATGATAAAGACTTGAAGATGTTGGAAAAAGAGGTAAGCAATGCTTTCAACTTACTGGAAAATAAATGTGCTCTATACAATGGAAAGAGTTCCATAGAATTAAGAGACAGGGATTCTGTTGCAGCTTAAGGAGTCACACTGGGTGGCAGACACACCATCCAGACCAGTGCCTACAGGGTAATCACTCCTTGGCTCCGACACCACGCGTCAGAGCCTGGTTGCCAGTGGGATATGCTGGCGAGTTAAGTTGTTAGCATACTAAGGGACAGGTTCAAGATAACCCGCTTAATGAAACAATGACAACTAAAAATCAATATGTTGGTTTACTACAATTATGTATAGGTCAAGTATTTACCTTTACTTTTCCTATATGCTGCTCTATATGTTAAGAGAGTGACTAGCTAGGGAATTGGTTAGTGAGCATGAAATCCTAGCAGGCTGGTTGGATTGTGATGGAGCTGTGCTAACCTGACACATTTCTCTGCACCATTGGTATAGGCCTTTCTCAGGGATAAAATGATTTAGGGCTGCAGTTACGTGGTAGCTACTCACCATATGTGATGATTTCAGTTAAATAAAATTTAGAACTCAATTTTTCAGTTAGTTCAAATGCTCAGTAGCCCCATGTGAGGAGAGGCTACCATACTGAGAAGCATTTCCCCCATAGCAGAAGTTCCTATTGATCAGAGCTGACCCAAGTAGCCCATTCACTTCCCTCAGCAGAGATAAGCTGGTCCCTTCCAGCCTTGCTTTTCTCTCTGTCTTTTATCCATGTTTCCGTTACTGGTTCTTTCCGGTGGACCTATTCTTTTGATGCACTAAAACTTTTCATTGATTATAGTAGAACTTTTCATTGATTACCACGAATATGTCGAGGTAACTTTGCAGATCTCTGTCCTGGATGCTACCTGATCCTTTTGTATTTATTTTAATAATATTGGTTCTCATTTTATTGAGGATACATGAAAAGGATTAATGGGGGAGGGGTAATAGGTGAATCTCAGATAGCAGGTAAGGGGCAGTGCCAGGATTCAAACTGGTCATTTGGGTCAGTTAATCTTTTAGAATAGAGATTTTAAGCCTCAAATTATTTGTTGTGTGTTTCTTTAACGTGAATTAATTGTCAGTATTTAAATGTAAAGTTTCATGCAAAACAATCAGATTTCTGACATCTGTTGGCAGAAATCAGATCTGACAACAGTGTTTCCACATTCCCCTCCTGGGTAACAATCTACCACAGTTGTGCAGGATGGCCCCTTTAGACCCCACATTTGTTCAGTCCTCGCCTGGCCCTCTTTGCTTCTTTATGTTATCCGCTTAGTTGTGTAGGCATTTGAGTTTACAAACCCTTTTTTGGAACTTAAGCTTCTTTAGCTGCAAAATGTATGATGCAGATTATCTCACTGTTCTTTTTTCTGCTGTATGATACTATGCTAAAAACACCAGTTATAAACATAGTGTGTATATTATAAGCATAGAGAATCTTATGGTAGGGACTCTTAAAGCCCAGTCAGTCCTTAGCATCAAGTTCATAGCCATATACATATAAGTGGTGCTTAATATATTGTTAGTTAAGCAATGTTGGCTTAAAATACTGAGATTAGTATGCACACAAAGCCAATGAGAATACAAAATACTTTTCATAAGATTTAATACAGCTATGTTTTCTTGATGCTTTTATACCCAGCAAATAGTCTATTTTGGTAAATGTGTTCTGTGCACTAGAGAAAAATATGTATTTTGCACTTGTTGGGTATAGTGGTCTATATATGTCAGTTCAAGTGAGTTAATAGTTTTGTCCAAATATTTACTGATATTATTCTGTCAGTTACTAAGAGGAGTACTTTTAAAATTTTAGCTCTGTGAATTAGTCTATTTCTCTTTTAATTCTGTCATTTTTTTCTGTTTATATTTTGAAGTTATGATATTAAGTACAGAACAAATTTAAGCCTATGTCTTCCTCTTGAAATGACTGTTTTACCATAAAATTCCCGTTTATTTCTAGTAGTATTTTTTGCCTTAAAATCTACTGCGTGTGATATTTACATAGCCATATCAGCTTTTGTTTTGTTTTGGTCAATCTGTCTGTGTCCCATATTTATAGTGCTATCTCATAAGCATCTGAGATTATTCTGCTTTACCAGAAAACTTCCTTTAGTGTTTCTTGTTGTGCAGGCCTACTGTTATCAGACACTCTCAGCTTTTTTTTCTTTGAAAAATCTCTATGTCACCTTCATATTTAAAGCTTTTCATTCGGAATAGAATTTTATATTGGCAGGTTTTCCCCTCCTGTGTTTGAAGCATGCCATTTCATTGTCTCTGGCTTCCACTTTTTCTTTTGAGAAATATGTGGTTTTGATTTGGGGTTTGGGTTTCATCTAGTAATTACAGAAGAAATGATGGCTTGCTCATGCCTACTGCATCCTACCAAGAATTCCAGTTCTGCCTTCTTAAGACAAAAAAGTGATTTAGCATTTTAAATTATAATTTGATTTCATATAGTTAGGCCCAGAGAAAATAAGAGCTCTTATAGGTAACAATCTTAAAGATGAATAAAGAGTTTAATTACACCAGGAAGTTTATGGTGATTAAAATCCTGTGTTCTTGAAATGCTTACTGATTTTTAAGACATATCATAAATTAAATATGATTCTTCACACAGCTAGTGAAATTAGGATACCTGAGAGCAGCATGTCACAATCTGGTTTTCCTAGAACTTTGACATTTTAATTATCAGTAGCAGCTAGTTATGTTGGCATTGTGTCATTGAATCATTCATTCACTCATCACCTTGTTTCCATCCAGATTCGTGTCCTCCTGCAGGAACGTGGTGCTCAGGACAAGCGCCTCCAGGATCTGGAAGCTGAGCTGGACAAGATGGAAGCAAAGCTAAGTGCTGCCGTCAGGGAAAAAACGTCTCTCTCTGCAAGTAATGCTACACTGGAGAAGCAGGTCACTGAACTAACCAGGACTAACGAGCTACTAAAATCTAAGGTATTCGAACCACACAATAATAATTATAATTGAATAAATAATAAAAATACTAGTTGTTTGGGAATTTTAGACTCTAGTTTAGCCTTTTTTTCCTTCACTAAATGTACCTTAAATATTAAGCTACTTCCAGTAGGAATTATTATTGTATCTTTTTTATTATGTTGCCTGATACATAAGAAGTTAGAAACAAACTTGTTACTTTTTGTTTTAATGTCTGACATTTTCTCACCCTCCTTCAAAATAACCCCCATAAATAAGGACATGAATCCAAGTTGCAGAATTTACATCTAGAAGTCACTTTAAAGATCCTTCTTTGAAATGAATAGTAGTATAATAATAGGCTTCCATCTCAAATCCTTTTGGGAAGGAAGTGAAAAATGAAGAAATGTGTTCAATCAATAAATTGTGTTTATCAGGATTAATATAGTAATAGGACTTAATGTGGTCATTTTGCTTTTTACAGAAGTAGAAGGTAGCTATAAATCACTGTTCAGTTTAAGAGTCATTTATTTGGGGCCTGTGATGTGCTGGGGGCTCTTTGCTTTCAAAGGGAGTGAGGGTGCGGAAGAATGAAACACGGGGAAGGGAACAGATTCCTGGGCCCCATCCAGGAGGATCTGACTTAGTTGGCCTGGGATGGACCCTGTAGTCCTCACATAATTCCAAGTAGTCCAGGGAATTCAAATGTGTTTTGTTAAGTAAACACCCTTTATGAAATCCTCTCCAAGAATCCTGTTTTACAGCCTTGCAATGAACATTCCAGCATATAGAGGCAAGTGACCACCCAAGCTACTTTCAGCATTAAACCAGAAAGTTGCATGGAGTGAAAGGAGGAGCAAGCACAATAGCATAAATAGTAATCTGGTGTTGGTCAAAGGCTGTTTGCTCTGTCAGAGTGTATTGCAGGCAACTAACAGTCCCAATAATTGGTAGATCAATCAGTATTTAAGTGATTTGATATAGGACTTAGAAGATATTTCTGAATCTTTTACATGTTTGTCGTACTTAGTTTTCTGAAGATGGTAACCAGAAGCACCTGAGAATGCTGAGCCTGGAACTGATGAAGCTTAGAAACCAAAGAGAAGCTAAGATGAGGGTAAGCGACGCCTCTGCTGAGTGCGCAGGGCCTGGACCTGTGGATCTGAGCGAGTTCTTATTTCCTGCAACCTATTTCTGTTGTGTAGAGCCTGATGGCCAAGCAACAAGGCATGGAGGCGAAACTGCAGGTCACCCAGAAGAATCTCCAAGAGTCTCAGGGGAAAGTAGCCCAGCTCGAGGGGAAACTGTGAGTGCCCAAAGGGAAGAGGAAGCCTTCAGTTCGGGTTTCACCTCTCTCCCCTGCTATTGTTTCCTGGGACCTGAACCTTCCCACAATACTTACCTCTTTTCCTTCCTCTCATTGCCTTTATTTCTTTATCCAAGTGACAGTTGAGACCTACTCATTCCCAACCATTTTAGGCTGAAAAGACCTATGACTCTCGTTACTTATGTGCTTCTCTGTATTGGTGATGATTTTTCTAATGCATGATCTTGCGGAAGAGGTGAAGTGGACCAAACTGAGAAGCACTGGTATAGGGGGCTGTGTTCAATGCACAGCTCTAGCCCTGTGTTTACTACTGAGCTGCAGTGGACATACAATAAAATGCACAGATCACAAGTAGTCAGTTTGGTGACTTGACGGTTGTCTTCCCTGAATAACCACCGCCCAGTACAAGGGAGAGTACTGGCATCCCTCCCTCCGTGCACCCTGTTCCTGCCATCCCCTTGTAATGGCCCACCCCTACGGCTCCGACTTCCATCGTCATAGATTAGTTTGGCTTTTGGGGACACATTTATCATTGTCTGCACGTGTCTGTGAACGTGTGTGTGTGTGTGTGTGTGGATAATTTGTTCCTTTTAATTTCTGAGTAGTAGCCCACTACGTGACTCAGCCTCCATCTGTGTACTCTTCTCCCGTTGATCAATACTTGGGTCTCCAGTCTCTATTATAAATAAGACTGCTATGTGTGCCTCTTTGCAGACATGTGTTTTATTTCTCTTGAGTAAATACCTAAGAATGGAATTCCTGGGTCACAGGATACGTGTATAACACTTTCAGAAACTCAAAGTGGATGAACCGTTTTCATGCCCAGTTAGAGTGTGTGATGGTTCCAGTCCAGTGGTCCCACATCCTCAGCAGCAGTTGATGTTGTCAAGTGTGATTTCAGCCCTTCTGATAGCTGTGAAATAGTATCTCATTTGTGATTTTAATTTATTGCTATTAATGTGAATTATATTTTTATTGACCGTTCATATGTATCCTTTTGTTAGATGTCTGTTTAAGGCTTTTGCCCATTTCTTAAGCTGAGGTTTTTGGAGGAGGTCAACACATAAGCTTTATGGAATACAGAATGGTATCTTGTACATGTGGGGGTGGGGAAACCAGGAAAGCTGCAAAAAAGATTATTTTTCTAACACTTGGAGTGTTGTGGATGATGAGTCTTAATCATCACAGCCCTTTATCAGACTATATTTGGAAAGCTTTCTCACTTAAAAAAAGTAAGTCTCCTATTTGCCTATATTAAATTGTCAACTTGAGATGCCACATAAATTAACAGTTCAGAGGTTAGACTCAAGAATCAGCCTACCTGATAAAATAGTATCTGATACAGAGTAAGCATTGTGTGTGATTATTATATTAATATATGCACCTTTTTTTTTAGCGTTTCAGTACAGAAAGAAAAGGTTGATGAAAAATCTGAAACAGAAAAACTCTTAGAATACATTGAAGAAATAAGGTAATATCAATCGACAGTAGTTTTAAATTGGTCCTCATTTTGTTGAAGTGCAGTGAATACATCATTTTGATCTTCTCAGTTACTTTTCCCTGTGCTTAAATAGTGTGCTCTTCATAATAATCTGTCTTAATGCAGTTGTGCCTCAGATCAAGTGGAAAAATACAAGCTAGACATTGCCCGGTTAGAGGAAAATTTGAAAGAGAAGAATCATGAAGTTTTAAGCCTTACGCAGTCTCTTGAGGAGAATGTTGATACGTTGTCTAAACAAGTAAAAGACCTGAATGCTAAATGTCAGCTGCTCAAAAAAGAAAAAGGTATTCTATGTTTATAGTTTTACTTTCTTCAGCTAAGTACTACGTGCAGTATTTGAGAAAAGCACTGCTATGTTTAAAAACAACTTCTAAAATAGTTATATAAACAACAAAAAACCCTGCTCTACATATGAGAATTTTAGTCTTTTATAATGTTTGTCCTGTTTATTTTAATATGTTGCTTGTCTTGATGTAAATATATACTATTGTGCAGTATTCGACTTCTCCATATGGTGGCCAATTAAAATTGGTGACACATAGAAGTAGGTTTGGGGGGTTTATCATATAACATATAGAGTAATGATATAAACATAGAGGGGGGTTTTCCCTTTGAAAATACTTGCTCTCTGTTGACATGCTATGTATGTTAATGAAATATGTATGGAGAATGAACTATAATGGGAATCTGGGTTGCTCAAAGCTAATATTAGTATCTATTGACAACATTGTTAACGCTTCCCTTTGCCAGAAGACCTCATCGACAGGGGCAGAGAACAGGATGAAAACCTGAGCTCCGAAATACAAAACTTAAAAGAGAAGTTAATTCTTGAGAAACAAGAACTTGAAAAGCTACAACAGAAAGAGTTGCAAATTGATTCACTTCTGCAACAAGAGAAGGTAATTTTCTACAATATAAAATAAAACTACTACTTATTTTATGTTGTACATTTCCCTGTGGTCAGAACACATTTAAATTGTATATATCCTTTGATCCACCAATTTTATTTTTGGAACTTTATCCTGAGAAAATAATCATGGTTTTGCAGCAGATTTAGCTACAAAGATGTTCGACACAGGGTTATTGATAATGTGAGAAAATTATAAGCAGCAGATGGAGCAAAATAAGGAAATTGTTTAAAAACCTTTCCCAGCACATTCTTGTTGTTAGATTACTACATAGGCTTTTGCAGTTGTGTTGAAAAAAGGGATCTAATTACACGAGAAACAAACTGACAATTTTTTAAAATCCAGATTATGTAAAAAACATTTTACATGTCAATGAGAAAAAAGTCCACTAAGAAACAATGGGCATAGGGTAGAAATAGATAATTCTTAGAAATAGAAATTTAGATAGCCTATAACAGTTAATATATGTTCTATCTTAGTAATAATCATAGAAATGGAAATCCTTTGTTTTTTCACTTAAACGATTGGCACAAATGTAAACATTTGATAAATAAAATAGAATAAAATATAAAATAAAATAATAAATTACCTTTGTGAGAGTTAGGCAATATTATATTATATAAATATTATATTGTTGAAGAACCTGCAACGACTGAAGGAATTAAATAGATCTGTATATACTATACTTGAAAATATCTCAACAGCCATTTTTATGTTTTTTAAATGACCTTTAAATACACAGTATATAACTTATGTTTTAAAAAGTATATAAATATACGAGAAAAGACCATAGGCATATATACCAAAGTAGTGTTTATCTCTGGAATGAGAAAAGCAAGATTGGGGTGGGGAGTAGTCAAAGGCAGTTTTCACTTTATAATGTCAAAACTTTTTATAATGGTAATTTACTTATATCTTTTTATCGGCATGTACTCCTATAACTTTAAATTTTTTTGATATAACATTGAAATCATAGTCCTTTTATATATCATATGACCAAAATATGTGATAAAAGCCATTTGTAGAATATGATTTCAGTTTTATGAGAAGTAGGCTCGTGTATGTGTGCTGCACAGAAAAAAGACTAAAATAAAACATCATAATGTTGACAAGTTATAGGATGTAATCCCTGACAAAGGGAATATGATATCTTCATATTTTTTTCAAATTTCCTTGAGGATCTTGAATTTGGTATTTTTCATTATCTGTATCTTTTCTGTCTTTAATAAAGCCTCACAAATTATTAAATTAAATTATTTAAACCTTTCTGATTATTCCTTGGTTCTCTTTTGGATGCAGGAATTATCTTCTAGTCTTCAGCAGAAGCTGTGCACTTTTCAAGAGGAAATGGTGAAAGAGAGGAATCTCCTTGAGGAAGAATTAAAGCAAGCTCTGGATGAGCTCGACAAGTTGCAGCAAAAGGAGCAGCAAGGTGAAAAGCTGGTCCAACAGCTGGAGGAAGAAACAAAAGCTAAAGCTGAAGAACTGAAACTTCTAGAAGAAAAGCTGAAGGGGTTTGTGTTAATAAGACCTCATACTTACAGAGGACTTCAGATTTTACAGAATATTCTTCTAGTACATTCTTTTGGGATTCACACATCAGTCACACAAGTGGGTGAGATTAGAGTCATTTTACAGTAAAGGAATAGCCATAGAGAAAGTACAAGCAGAGGATGTACCTGCAAACAAGCGTGATGGCCAAAGTCAGAGCCACACCCTTTCTTTATTTAAAGCCAGTGGTTTAATTTAAGAGTTTTAATACAAAAATGGCCAAAATTTTGGGTTCCTATAACTACTCTCATGTTTTCTGAAAATGATTGGACATTAACGTTACAACAATAATAGATTTATTTATTTATTTATTTATTTATTTATTTATTTATTTATTTATTTATTTAAATATATCTTTATTGATTTCAGAGAGAGGAAAGGAGAGGGAGAGAGAGAGCTAGAAACATCAATGATGAGAGAGTCACTGATCGGCTGCAGCCCACAACCCGGGCATGTGCCCTGACCGGGAATCGATCCCTGATCGCCTGGATCCTAGGTCGATGCTTAACCGCTGAGCCACACCCGGCTGGGAACAACAATAATAGATTTAGAAAATTTCCCAAAAAACTAAGATTCCCACCCTCTTATAAGACTCATTTCCATTTTTGTATATAAGTACATCATTTCACATAGTGTAAGTTATATCTTTAATTACTTGTTTTGAGAGAACACAAACACTTCAGAAATAACAGTCAAAAAGCAAAATGAGGAAAAATCAACCAGAATTGGGAAACATTCGAAAATAAGAAATGTATCATTAGAAGTAGAAAGACTGAGATCTTATGTTTTGTTTTGTTTTTTACTCTAGTTTCATATTGTTTTCATCACGTTATGTGTCCCCCATTACCTTTACTTAAATTAAAATGTCCAGGTTGATTATTGAATTCAAACTGCAAATAAAATAATTATATTATTTCAATCCTTGGGATTTCATCACTAAAATTTTTCTAGCATGGACTAGGTCTGAGCCTCTTCTGTTTTCTTTTAATGCTTAGTGATTTAAAAATAAAAAATAAAAAAGCACACCAAGGTTTTTATATTTACTGCTTTTGGGAGAACAGCACCAAAATGTAATTAGGGGGATTGTTCTATACTGACACCAGTCTCAGGCAATAGTTTCTTTAAGAACCTGAATAGATGATCTCAGTTTCAGAAAGAACGTTGAGATAATCATTTATCCTGACCCAGAACTGGTCCAGAGGTCAGGAGATAAGTAATTTATGGCTAGGTCTGTTAACTAGCTGTGTGATTCTGAGCAAGACAGCCTTAATCTCTGTAATTTACTATTTTATTAGATAATAAAGGAGTTTTATGAGGTGGTTTCTATGGTCCCTTTCTGCCTGGAAATGTTATGCTAAAAATAAAAACTAAGAGAGTTGAAAGTGCTTCCTCTAGGGGGCAGTAAAGAGACTATTTTTATTATAAAAATATTACTTTTATTAATAGTACCGTTAGTACCATTTGATTGCTTTTAGCTGCAGTTGTGTATATTTTTAAATCCCCTACTCATTATAGAATGAATTCAACCAGCTGTTATCTAGTGTCAAACTTAGCCTGTAAGTGAATAGTGCTTCTTATTTATGGTTTTTAGTTCCACATGTTCTTTAAAAGTTATCATACACTCATGTGCATATCTAAAAATTTCTATCATCATTTTGGTAATGGATATTATTTATAAAGATGACTAAAAAGCCATTTTGTCTATGCAAAATAACCCACTAAGTAAGTTATTGAATCTTTGAATAACAATTTATTATGTAGGTTATGGATATAATAAAAATCTTCCTAATCCTATAACTCTTTTCAAAAGAACTTTTAAAACAAAGTGTCTTTAACTGTACTTAGTATCTCTTAAATGTCTGCATGCAGAGAATTAAATTTTATTCAGTCCAAATGCTTTTTGACTAGTAATTCTTCACCTTCTTTAGTCTTAGCTGTTGCTATTAAGATTCTCTTTGAGTATTTTTATCCTACTTTCTTCCAAAAGAGTGTTTAAACTAACTGCATAAATACATGTGATATTAAAAGATAAATGTAGAAATAAGTAAGTGAAGATGAAAACAAAAGTAAAATCAGAACAGGAAAGATGAGATGAAGCCCTACATACTAAACATGCTATTCGATGTCGTCCATAAATTTAGATCTAAGCTATCCAGGAGGTAGTGTAAACGGGAATGTGGGATTCACCTTTGACACCCATAGTGTCAAAGGTGAATACTAATAATCTCTTTCTTAAGGCAGTGATTTGTATTTAGCAGTTTATCTTTTCATTTTTCATTTTTCTTAGGAAAGAAGCTGAACTCGAGAAAAGTAATGCTGCTCAGACTCAGGTCACCCTGCTGCTGCAGGAAAGGTGTAACAGTGCAGAGCAGAACCTTGGGGATGTCACTGCGCAATTCGAAAGGTATTTTTATCAGGAGCCTGCACTCTCAAGCATAATAAGAGCAGGGAGGGGTGTTTAGGGAAAACCGAACAACAAAATCACACACATAAAATTATTGGTATTACTTTAAATTCCACAATGACCGACCATAAATGGACATTTAGTGTTGCCTGGTATATTAATTTCCCTTTGATTTTAATGTGGTTAAATTTGTAGATTTTTATGTGAACACTTTTGCATCTCATTTAAGATCATCTTTTTATCCCAAGAACATAAAGATATTCACCTATTTTTCTTCTAAAAGTTTCTGTTTTGCATTTTACTTTTTCACTTAGAACTGATTTCTGTGTGTGCAGTGATATAGAGATCAAATTTACTTTTGTTTTTCCATGTGGATAATGAATTGCAAGTGCCCATTCACTAAATGGTACCTTCTTTCCCAAGGACAAGATCTTTATGTGATACATTATGTATAACATAGATATATACGTGCACACACACACACACACACGTCATGTATATGTATGTATCTATTTTAATTATAATGTTTCCATCAGAACAGAAATATAAATTATATAATTTTATTTTATATAATTTTTAGTGCTGTTCTCAATCCTGTACAGGTATTTCCCTTTTTATCACTTTGAAAAATAGTGTCTTGGGAGGTGTTTAGCCATTCTATGACTCCACTCACCATCAGTATGCTAATACCATTAAAGCTTATTTCTTCAAACCACACATCTCCATTCAGCTCTGTGCCCATGTATCCAGCTACCTACTTGACATCTCCAAGTGGATATCTCACAGTCTCCCAATGTAACCTGTCTAAAACGACTCTTGATCTTCCTGTCTCTTTCTGCCTCTGGTCTCTCTTTTTTATTTCAGTCTCTGGCATCTCCCTAGCTTCTCGCTCCATAAATCTTAGTGTCATCTCTGATCCTTTTCTCTTTCTCCCAACGCCTCATCTATTTCTGGAATTTTAAAATTCTGCCTCAGAAAGAGATCTCACGTATTTTCATTGCCAGCTCCTTAGTCCCAGCCTTTTTCGTTCACTGGGACTGATAATTGCCTTCTAGTTAATCTTTCCATGTGGCACACCTGCACCTTCCCCAGTCCCTTCTCCACATGTGTCTGGAGTCATCCACACACTTAGGGACCTCAGGTGACCCTTCGGTGCCCTGCAGTGATGAGTGGCCTCCACTCTCCCTAGCTTCTGCTCTTACCTCTCTTATTTATTAGGCTCCAGTCTTATATTTTTTCTTTTTGTTTTTTTGTTTTGCTTTAAAATATGGAATGCTTTATGAATTTGCGTATGATACTTGCACAAGGGCCGTGCTAATCTCTGTTGTTCAAATTTTTAGTATATGTGCACTATGTTCGACCTGCCTCTAAGCATCTTTTCCCTCTGAAATACTTTCCCCTAACTGCCTCCCCAAATCTTCCTTGTGCATCATGGCTCAGCTAAACAATGAATTCTTCAGAAAGGCCTTTTCTGAATCACCAACCGAAATGTAGGGTCCCCTGTTTTATCAACTTAAGGAGCTCTGTAGTTTTACTTCCTAACACCACAATTTTAATTATATCCTTTTTTTTTTCCCAATTTTTTTTTGGTGTGTGTGTGTGTGTGTGAAAACCTGAAGAGAGGCATTTGCCTATTTTCCCAAAAAGAACATGAACAGAGTAAGTGCAGAGATTTTAGAATTTTTACTTTAGAATAATTTTCATGTTTGGTAATGGGTTTTTTCATCTCTGTATGTGTACTTTCTGCATGTAGTAGGCACTTGATTTTTTTTTTTTTTTTTTTTTAAANACCTGCCTCTAAGCATCTTTTCCCTCTGAAATACTTTCCCCTAACTGCCTCCCCAAATCTTCCTTGTGCATCATGGCTCAGCTAAACAATGAATTCTTCAGAAAGGCCTTTTCTGAATCACCAACCGAAATGTAGGGTCCCCTGTTTTATCAACTTAAGGAGCTCTGTAGTTTTACTTCCTAACACCACAATTTTAATTATATCCTTTTTTTTTTCCCAATTTTTTTTTGGTGTGTGTGTGTGTGTGTGAAAACCTGAAGAGAGGCATTTGCCTATTTTCCCAAAAAGAACATGAACAGAGTAAGTGCAGAGATTTTAGAATTTTTACTTTAGAATAATTTTCATGTTTGGTAATGGGTTTTTTCATCTCTGTATGTGTACTTTCTGCATGTAGTAGGCACTTTTTTTTTTTTTTTTTTTTTTTGAAGAGCAGCGTATGAGGTATAAGCTCATTAGCACTGACCTCAGAACACTGAGTTCTGACTGTATAAATGCATAAATTGATAGATACTAAGGTTTTGTTTGTTTTACCTAAAATTTTACAAACTGTACATTCATCTGCTATCTATTTGTCATATATACAGTAGTTAGAAAAATGCTTTAACTTGTTTTTCTTGTTAATAAGCTATAAAGCATTAACAGCTAGTGAGATAGAAGATCTTAAGCTGGAGAACTCATCACTTCAGGAACGAGTGGCCAAGGCTGAGAAAAGGGCAGAGGATGTTCAGCATCAGATGCTGGCCATGGAGAGCTCAAACCAGGAATATGCAAGGTCAGTGGGAGAAGCAGAGCCTGCCACACTCCGGCCCGCGGGCCATCAAGAGGGCTTAACGCTGCTGAAAGCCAGCTACCGAGAGATGCAGGGCATTGTAGCTGGTCTCATGGCTTGCTTTGGGTGATCTCAAATTGCAAATTAAAAATTTAATTAAAAAGATAAAAATTGTTGAAGAGAGGTCCTGAAGTTAAAAAAATAATAATAAAGGAAAAGATGAAAAGTAGTTAAAATGGCTGTAAAATGTTCAATGGACTCGTCTTCTCTCTCAAACCAAGGATGCTTCTAGACCTGCAGACCAGATCAGCACTCAAAGAAGCAGAAATGAAAGAAATCACAGTTTCTTCTCTCCAAAAAGTAACTGACTTGGAGAACCAGCTCAAGCAGCAGGGTGAAGACCTGAAGAGGCAGCTGGCGGAGGAGGAGGCAGCAAGGTAGTCCCGGCTCAGAGCCCAGGGCCACGCACCTCAGTCCTTGTCTCTAACGCACTGCACTACGTCTTTAATTAACTTCCCTTACAGGAAGGCTGGGGAAGCAGACACAGTGGCAGAGTTAATGGAGGAGGTGAATAAGTGGCGTCTCCTCTATGAAGAACTATATGAGAAAACAAAGCCTTTCCAGGTTTGTCAGTTAGGACTAAACATACTCTTGTTTGTTTTAGGAATTCACCTTGTTCCCTCTCACAGTCAGGACAGTGGCCTGGTTTTCCTGAAAGGTCATTTTGCTGTGCATTTAGTGCCAGTTTAACTTCCTATTCAAGATGGCTTATAAACTTTGTTAAATTATTATGCATACATTTTTTTAATAAAGACTTTATAGGCTAAAAAAAATACCTCCTAGTAAGAGACTTCAAGTTAATAGCTTAGAAGACTCTTTTGACCATTAGTGTATGTAAATTTGTGATAATTATTTTGTTGTGATCTTTCTCAAGTTAATACACCGATCTTAAAAAAGCAGCAGCAGAAATGCTAATCTTGGCACTTAAATAGATTAGGAGTGCTGGTTATAATGCAATCCAGTTGATACAAATAGGCTGGCTGACTGGACTTCTTTTCTTGTTTCTTTCCCTCTTTTTATGATCTTTGAAATGAAAACCACACAATTTAAAAAAAAATAGTCTCACAGAATTTATGGAGAGCTCTGAGAACATATCAACAAAATCTGTTTTATGTTCATTTTTAAATTTTTTATATAGTTGACATAGACAAGTAAGATTTAACAGTTTTAAGTTTTAACTTGATGTAAAATCTATTTTTCAGCTACAACTGGATGCATTTGAAGCAGAGAAAGAGGCTCTGTTGAATGAACATGGTGCAGCTCAGGACCAGCTCAATAAACTGAGAGATTCATATGCTAAGTTATTGGGCCATCAGAATCTAAAGCAAAAAATCAAGCACGTGGTGAAGCTGAAAGATGAAAATAGCCAACTCAAGTCGGTGTGTAGAGCAACAGTCCCACGGAAGACGCGGCAGAGGGCTGTTTTTATTCCGTTTATAACGGTCAAGTAAAATGAAGGACTTCCCTATCAGAAAAGAGGAACATCCATCCGAGAATTAAGGATTTATTTTATTTTAGAGTGCTTACCAGATGGGTGTCAGTGTTCTCCAGTTTTCTAACTACTTCATTTAGTATGTTGAAAATTACTAGAGTGATTGGAAAATTTCAGAAAGGTTTACACATCCATTTCTGTTTTTAAAGTAACAAAAGCCTTGATATAAATAAATACTATATAGGCAGTGTTCAAAAATAGTTAGGCCTTTAAGATTTTTATTTTATTGTTTTAAATATATTTTTATTGATTTCAAAGAGGGAGAGGGAGAGAGAGAGAGAGAAACATCAGTGATGAGAGAGTCATCGATCGGCTGCCTCCTGCACGTCCGACGCTGGGCATCAAGCCCACAACCCGGGCATGCACCCTGACCGGGAATCGAACCTCGATCTCCTGGATCCTAGGTCGATGCTCAACTGCTGAGCCACACCCAGCCGGGCTTTAATAGCTTTATTGAAATATAATTCACACACCATTTAAAGCGTACAACTCGGTGGTTTTCACTATAGTTACAGATAGGTGTAACCATTGCCACAGTCAATTTTAGAACATTTTTAATCACTTCAAAATGAAACCCCTTACCCTTTAGCTATTATCTCCCTATTTTCTCATCCACTCCTCCCACCCACCACTAATCTACTTTCTGCCTCTAAAAATTTTCTTATTCTGGACTTTTTTTTTTTAATCAAATAATATGTGGCCTCTTGTGTCTGGATTTTTCCAGTCAGCATAATGTTCTCAAGGTTAGTCCGCGTGATAGCATGCACCAGTACTTCATTCTTAGTATTTTATTTTGTGGCTATGGCACATTTTATTTATTCATCTGTTGCTTGAAGGACAGTTGGGTTGTTTTCACCTTTGGGCTGTTATGAATAATGCTACTGTGAACTGCCATGTAGAAGCTCTTGTGTGGACTTACGTTTTTGTTGCTCTTGGGTTATCTAGGAGTGAAATTGCTGGGTCATATGGTAACTGTTTAATCACGTGAGGAACTGTTGGGCTGTTTTCCAAAGCAGCTATGCCACCCTGCATTCCAGCAGCAACAAAGGAGGGTTCTAATTTCTTTACCTCCTCAGCAGAACTTGTTATTTTCTGACTTTTTGACTCTAGCCATCCTAGTGGATGTGAAGTGATACCTAATTGCAATTTTGACTTGCATTTCTCTGATGCAACAGGTAGCTGAGGGCAAGATGAGAAATGTTGATGCCCTGCTTTTCCTGACGGGAAAAGCTTCTGGCAAGGAGCTAGCAGGGGAGGGAGCCCAGGGATCTTGGCTGCAGCAGTCCAGTGTGGAGCTCTCACCTTCCTTAGCGGCAGTGGGGACACAGGGGGCAGGCTTGTGCAAATAGCACAGACTCTTCCTTTTTACCACATTTTCATAGATTTGCCTGAATAGATCAACTTCATTGGGTCTTTTGTCTTAGAGCCACTTATGGAGGCTTTAAATGGTTGCCTCTTTCTAATGTTTCGTTTCACTAGGAAGCAAGTCAGTGGAGTCCCTCATGCTCTTATGCTGGAAGTTGATCTCGGCCTTAAAGTTAGAGATGAACTTTTATCAGAAATACATCCTTGTACCTGTAGAGGGGCAAGAAGATTTAAATGACTTGTTATCTCCTATATCATAGTTGTTCCAGGTCATTTTGTAAATTTAGTCTTTTTTTTATTATTATTGATTTTTCGAGAGAGAGAGAAACATCAATGTGAGAGCTAAGCATTGTTCCACTTCCTCCTGTATGCCCCCTACCAGGGATTGAGCCTACAACCCTGGCATGTGCCCTGACCGGGAATCAAACCGGCAACCTTTGGGCACATAGGACGGTGCCCAACCAACTGAGCCAGGGCTAAATTCATAGTCTTAAAGTGTCTATCTAGTAGTGATTTTTGCCGTTTGGTTTGATACTTGAGCTGAGCAACTTTGGAATTTGTCAGTAACATTGCTTACACACTTCACCAGCGTCATCTTAAGTAACTGTTCATTGTCTACATTTTTCTGTAGGAGGTGTCAAAGCTCCGCTGTCAGCTTGCTAAAACAAAGCAAAGCGAGAGAAAACTTCAAGCGGAGTTGAATAAAGTTCTGGGTATCAAACACTTTGATCCTTCAAAGGCTTTTGTTCACGAAAGTAAAGAAAACTTTGTTCTGAAAACCCCGTTAAAAGAAGGTAAGAAATGAATGTATACAAGTGTCACCTTCCTTTAGATTTGCTTTTAGAGCATTTAGTAAGTTATCCATTTTTATGAACTGAAAATTTATTGACAGTTTCTGATATAAAAGAAATTCTTCCTGAGATTTTTTTGTGAAAAGACTTCTTCCCTCCTTCCATACTTTCTATTTTCCTTATTTCTGGATCCCATCTGTTCTTCAAGCCCATTGAAACTCCCTCTTCCTTGAAGCCTTGTCTGACTTTTTTGCTCCTACCCCCCTCTCCCCCTGCACCAGCCGCCCCCCAGAACAATTCCCTCTGACATACCCTTAGCATTTTAACCTAAATGTCTAGCTTGTAGTTTTGGAGAAGTAGATGTTGTCTTTTTCTTGACATTGAACCTTTGTATCTTTGACAATAAATCAACGTAAGTCAAAACAGTGAATGAAGAACTATAAATAAAATTATGCTACGGAATGCAAACATTGCTTCATCTGCCTTACGGAAGACAGTAGAGGCCTGTTTTTAGTTTATGCTGACTGATGACTTGGTGTTGACTGAGAACACTAACACTTCTTTTTAATAATCCCTCCAGGCAATACAAACTGCTGTTGAGCTCCTGTGGAGTTTCAAGAATCCTGCAAGTAAACACCTGGAAAACCAACTGAAGATTATTTTAGTCTTATTCTTGTTGTTGCTGTTATTATGTTTGTAACAAATGCTTTTAAATGTGTTTAACATAAACTTCCTATTCTTAGGTATCTGAAAGCAAGGTCAACATTTTCACCATTATGTCTTCTGACATTTTATTTTCTATTGTCCTTAGCTCCTCCCTGTTGTTCATTTTCATCACTTCATTCTAAACCTTCCACTTGGCTTTCCAGCTTTCCAACTTGTCCCATCAATCAACATTCTTTTAAAAATCACTCTCATATTATTATTCCCCTATTCTGAAACCTTAGATGCTTTCAAGATTCTAATCCCCAGGTTTTTTAGTTTGATCCTGGATGGCTTTTCTGATCTGAACCTCTTAAGCTAAGACAAAACACCTTGGCTTGTTCTTGCCTCTACTTTGATTGTCCTAATAATGTTTACTTTGTTTTACCTGTCATCTATTTATCCAGTTCAAGTAAGAAGTAAGGGCAGGCTTAATTCCACAGTCATCTCTCTCTTTTTTTAAAAAATATATATCTTTATTGATTTCACAGAGAGGAAGGGAGAGGGAGAGAGAGAGAGAAACATCAATGATGAGAGAGTCATTGATCGGCTGCTTCCTGCATGCCCCCGACTGGGGATTGAGCCCATACCCAGGCATGTGCTCTGGCCAGGAATCGAACCTCGGTTTTCTGGATCCTCGATCAATGTTCAACTGCTGAGCCACGCCCAGCCAGGCCACAGTCATCTCTTTATCTCTTACCAGAGTCACTGAGCTGGTCAATGGATTGCAGATTCCTAGACTCTATCCCAGTCCTACGAAATTAAAATATGGGTTTTGGCCTGAAAATCTACATTTGAAAGAAACTCTACAGTTAATTCTTAGATAGGTCAAAAATCTGAGAAACACTGCTCTTAACTCTTTTATTTATTTATTTATTTTGAGAGTATGTTTATGAAAGCTGGGGATAGTGAAACAAGGAAGGGCTTAGGACAGAAGCAGCACCAGGAGACAGCCTAGGCAGGGCTACTTTGGCTCACTAAGGAGTCAGAGAAAAGGGAGTCTTGGGGACAGGTTCAAGGGGATATCTCTGGACGAGCTGCTGCTGCCTGCAGCTCCCCTGGTTGCAAGTCTCGTGGGGAGCCTTGCAGTTTAGGAGATGTGGGCCTGTGGGGGAAGAAGTACAGGAAGGGAAGGGCGCAGGAAGAAGGCCTATGGGTGAAAAAGAAGGGAAAGGCACTGGCATGCTCCCAGGAGGGGGAGAGCACTCAACTAACTCTAGAGAATTTTTCTTATACTGCTTGGCGTCACCTGACTACTGGGTATTTGATTAGTATTTCTGTACTGTGAAATAAAAGCACACATTAAATCATTAACCCAATTATTCAACTCGTATTATATGAAGTTATGTTAATGCTCCTGTTTAAGGTGTATTTATTATCTGTGCCCTCCCCTCCCTACCTTGTCTCTAGAATTACAAATGGTAGTATACTATTTAGAGAGTGGTAATTCTCCATCTGAAATTTCTGGTTTACTGTTAGTGTATTATAAGCCACCTTTTTAAGTAATATTTCTCCATCAATGTACTAAAAGAGACTATTACAATTAGAATTGCTTTTCATAATAAATGATTTTATTGGACCTTAATGCATAGTTGAATTTTTAAATGCCATTATTTGAATTAAGTTCAGAGGAAATGTAGAAATCAGAAAATTTGTATAATAAAGTGAAATGGTTTAGGAATTTTGCTTTTATCTAAGATGGAATAACAGGATCGGATTCATCCATCCTCACCTCATCCCCCCCCCACCTAAAACTACCAGAACCTAGACAAGGTAATTATTTTTGAGATGTTAGATGTGAGCCACTGAAGGACAACCCCTAAGAGATGGGAAAATGAAGGTGAGCTCTACACTTGTTCCCAATTTACTGCCTTAAGAGAATTTTCAAACGAGGATGTTGGGAAGGGGAAGGCGGGGAACCCAGGCAGAGCCCACCCAACCACCCGAGTTGAGATCCAAGGATACCAAAGTGGCTGGAGTTTGCAGGACAGGGTACTAGAAAGGAGAACATCGCCTAAAGGGAGGACTCTGGAGCTGTACGAAGGGCCCCTCAGGTATTCGTTAGTAGTGCACATGAGGAAACTATTTGAGGCCAGGGAAAGCCCCACCCCCTAAAATTAGAAGTAACAGTGCTCAAAGCTGACACAAGGCTAGAAATATTGGCTGTTACCACCGGCCACGCTGGGAAAACCTAATGATGTATAAGGCGATGGGTGGGATATACAGAAGGCTTTCGCCTCAGTACTGGGTAATACAGGTAGACCTCGTTTTATTGCACTTCACTCTATCGCACTTTGCAGATGATGTGTTTTTTACATGATGGTTTGTGGCAACCTGTGTCGTAAAAGCCCATTGGCATCAAAAAGATTAGAACTTGCTGAGAGCTCAGGTGATTATTAGCATTGTTTTTTAGTAATACAGTATTTTTAATCAAGGTGTGTACATTGTTTTTTAGACATAATGCTATTGCATTCTTAATAAACTACAGTATAGTGTAAACATAACTTTTATGTGCACTGGGACACCAAAATGTGTGATTTGCCTTCTTGGAATACTTGCTGTATGGTGGTGGTCTGGAGTGGAACCTACAGTATCTCCGAGGCGTACCTGTGATTAGTCCTAAAGTGAGCACTGCTCTGGTCCTGCCTAACTAATCTTACAAGGAAGACCTGAAAGGATCAAACTATGTCTAAGAAACTGAATTACACCCCAGAACAAAGCTCAAGAGTATTTATAGGATTATAGAAATATGAAGCACTCTTATAGCAAAGAAAACAGTGAAAAGCCAACCTACAAAAGTCAAGAAAATATTTGCAAACTATATACCAGATAAGGAACTCCTACACTCAATAGCAAAAAACCCCTAAAATTTTTAAAATGGGTGAGAATTTGAATATACACTTCTCCAAAGAATACATGCATGGCCCTGGCTGGTGTCGCTCATTGGTTGGGCAGAGTCCATTGCACCGAAATGTTGCCGTTTGGGTTCCCCAGTAGGAAGCATGCAGGAGGCAGCTGATCAGTGTTTCACTCTCGCCCTCTCCCTTCTCTAAAAATCAATAACAATATTTTTAATTTATAAAAAGACACAAATGGCCAACAGGTATATGAAAGATGCTAAGTGTCACTAATCAGGGAAATGTACATCAGTCAAAACCACAGTAAGATATCATGTCACATCTATTAAAATGGCTGTTACCAAAAAATGAAAGGTAAGTGTTGGTGAACATGTAAAAAAACCAGACCCCTTGAACAGTGCTAGTGGAAATGTAAAGTGGTGCAGCAACTATGGAAAATAGTATGGAGGTTCCTCAAAAAACTTAAAAAAAGAACTACCGTAGGATCCAGCCGTCGCACTTAGGAGTATTTATCCCAAATAATTGAAATGAGGGTTTCAAACAAATATTTGCCCTTCCAAGTTCATTGCAGTGTTACAATAGCAAAGATGTGGGAACAACCAGAGTCCATCATGGGTGACCGGGTAAATAAACTGTGGTACTTCCAGACAATGGCATATTATTCAGTGCTGAAAAGAATGAGCTTTCAGGCCAGAAAAAGACGGAGAAGGAACTTTCCGTGCATGTTCCTAAGTGAAAGAAGCCCGTCTGAAAAGGCTACATCCTGTATGATTCCAATCATATGACATTCTGGAAAAGGCAAGACTATGGCGACAGTAAAAAGGTCAGTGACCGCCAGGGTTTGAGGGGTGGGGTGGGATACGCAGGAGGAACACCGGGAATTTTAGGGCAGTGCAAATACTCCGCATGATGCCACAATGACGGGTACGTGTCATTACACATTCGTCTAAATCCATAGAATTTACAACGACAAGAGTGAGCCCTGATGTAAACTGCGGACTTTGGGTGGCAGTGATGTATCTATGTAGGTTCATAAGTTGTAACTTGTGTACCACTTTGGAGGGATGTTGATAATGGGGGGAGGGGGCTGTACATGTGTGAGGGCAGGATGTCTTGGGGAAACCCCTGTGTTTTCACCTCAATTTTTCTGTGAACCTTAAACTGCTCTAAACAAAATAAGGGTTTACTTTTTTAAAGTAGGACTGATTTAGACAAAAAGAGAACAAAACTTGGGTAGAAAGTATAAAGGTATTTATTAGGCTATTTTTTTAACTTATGTAAGTTTGAAAATGTTTATAATAATAAGTTTTTAAATCCCCTACATTAGCCAAAAAGTTATACCTAGAGTGTTAGCGCAGGCCCCTCAGTGTTCTGACTCATGTACCCTTCCGTTGGCCTTACCCATGCGGAACTGAACACTGAAGCAGACCGGCAGGGGCTTCATCTTCTCTCCTCCGTAAGATTTGCCGACACAAATACACGTGTACTCACACCCTCTGCTCCAGCTCCTTGTTGGATTGTTCAAAACATAGTAATTCCAAGGGGAGGCTTACACTTCTCCACTCCACTGATGTCAGGAGAATTGTACATCCCTGCCCTGGTTCCTCATATAGCATGAGGACAATTAGTTCTTTTAAAAAATATATGTTTCTATTGATTTCAGAGAGAGGAAGGGAGAGGGAGAGAGAGAGAGAAACTGCAGTGATGAGAGAGAGTCATTGATCAGCTGCCTCCTGGGGATCGGGCCCACACCCCAGGTAGGTGCCCTGACAGGGAATCGAACCGTGACCTCCTGGTTCATAGGTCGACGCTCAACCACTGAGCCACCCCGGCCGGGTGACATTTATTTCTTTACCCCTCACGCATTACATGTATTTTCTCCCAGTCGATCGTTTGACTTCGTTCATTATTATTGTTGTCATGCAGATATTTACAAAAATCTATGTAGTCTAGTTTGTTGATATTTTCACTTTTGGTTTCTGAATTTCATGATATGCCTATACAAGGTGACAGGAGACACATTCTGAGACGTCCTCAGTTACAGCAGCCTGAGGGCGAGAGGAAGAGCAGGGGAAGTTCATCGACAGCTGCAGGCCAAAACCCGCAAAAGGCTGCTGCATTCCTGAAGGGGCGTTGAAACTTCGAGTCAGCTTCCCGGCAGTTATTTCAGCTCTTACCCAAATGGAAGAGGGAACCACCAGACTGACCCCAGGCTTCTTGCTTAGGAATGAACTTGGCAGACTGTTGCACACAACCAGTTCCAAAGCACCACGTCCCTCTTCCTCATGGACTGTTCACCTACCCCTGCACCTTCCCTTCTCCTTTTCCTGCCCTCCCCTTGTCTGTAGTAAATTCTTTCTAAACATCTTACATCTCTCTCCCCCAAACTCATTGTATAAAAGAGCCCCATCAACCCCAGGATCGGGGACATGTCTGTCTTCTCCATCCAGTCCTGCCAGTGGTGGTTGGGACTGCACGCCCANCCAACGTAAATTCTTTCTAAACATCTTACATCTCTCTCCCCCAAACTCATTGTATAAAAGAGCCCCATCCACCCCAGGATCGGGGACATGTCTGTCTTCTCCATCCAGTCCTGCCAGTGGTGGTTGGGACTGCACGCCCCAGGACCTGGTCCTTTTTCTGGTTAGCATGTG